GTATGGTTATGTATCAATAATAAGTTACTTGGATGATAATTAGGACACTATGGGTATAAACCCTTTTTTGAACACAACAGGAGGGTTAACTTGTTAGCAAACAGTTGCTTAGTTACACATCCAGAGAGTAACATTAACATTCATTTGGAGTTTCTGTTCACCTGGAGACTGTGAGATCAATATCCACTTCGCCTCTAGCTCTGTTTTTGGTCTCTACTAACTCCTGAGGGAAATACATGATTCGGTTGCACTAGGTTGCACTTTTTTTAGTGTTTAACCAAGCTCATGTTCTTTCATTAACTATAACTTTAACTAACTTTAACCAAGTGTTTCCCCTAAGTGGACTTGGGAGGAAAGGAGCTTTTTCAAACTCCTGATCCACAGCCTGCCAGATTTTGACAGAGTGGAGATATGAGGTCTGGCTGCAGGGGATGGAAAATGTACATCTGACAGAAAACAGCTGTCCTCTGCAGCCCGAGATAGAGGTCAGTGTTAAGCCCAGTGGACACTGAGGTAAATACACAAAAAAAAACCTGTGAGATCTGCAGACCTCTGCCAAACTGTCACCCACAACTCCTGGACCTTGTGTATGTAGCACTGGTTGTTTGTATGTGATGTTTTATGGCTGCTCTCCTGGCTTCCAACTCCTCAAGTCTCTGGCAGAGCACACAGTGTATTGAGTAACAGCCTATGACTGGAATAAACCAAAAAGTTTAGTTTTTAATCGCTTGTTATCTTGCTGTGGGAGTGTCTCAGAATCAGTAGGAAGGGATTTCTTGCCTTATCCATCAACTTCTTCTTTCTCCCCTGTCATGCAGTCGTATGTTGATTTTGTGCTGTGCATCCAGATAAAAATGTGCATATTTCCCCCTTAAACCATATGTTCTGCTTAAGGGTCCCATATTGTATAAAGTAAGATTCCCATGTCCTTTCGATTATAAAGCAGGTGTAAGTTCTGAATTAATACAGTGAATGTATCAAAGCACTCAGTCTACAGAGAAATGCACATAGCCTGTATTCAGAAACTGAGCCTTAAAACGAGCCGTCAGGAGTTCTGTAATTTTGTGATGTCACAACAAAGCAGTCACTGCTCTCAGCCATGCCAAAGGCCCACCCACCTGGACTCACCATCCAACCTTGCAGGATTTGGTTTCTCTGGGTGTTTACCTGAAATCTGCTATATTTTTATTCAATCAGTCAGAAAACAGTCAGCCAATCAGAAGAGAGGTCCGGAGCCTCTCTTCTGATTGTGTTTATGTACATGTTAAGTATTTTGCTTATTTGCTTGCATGCATTTGAAGCAGTTCAAATAACTTGGTATTTTCTTAACAATATATTTTGTTAAATCAGGCTTTTTTCAGATTGATATACTAAACTTGTAGCAAATGCTGCATGTTGCAAAATCAAGCATCATAGATGAACAAGGGACAGAAAAGGATGAATGGAGTCTGGATATGCTACTGTCAATAGGACAATCAAAGGAGGCATTTTTATTATTGTAACTCATCAGTCATTTTGAAGGATTAATGCAGGACAGCACTTTCGTTGAGGTCTCTAACACTACATTTTCACGAAATTGATGGGACAGCAATAATGGGACAGTGTTTCATTCCAAAAAACATTTTGGCTCTCTCACCCACACACCTTACATAAAGGAAAGCAGATGGTGGTCTCTGCAAAGCTAAAACATGAAAATTACCTCAGGTGTATATATTACAGTACATCGTTGATTAACGATCAGTCTAATTTCTGAATACAATCAAATACAAGCTTTTCATCTGTAAAACACTGCCAGGTCAGTGGATGTGGGCTAAAAGATGCTATCAATACCTTTTTCCCTACAGGATGTAACCCGATGTGACCCGGAGTCTAACCACTTTCACTCTAAGCCAAACTGTCTCAAAAGAATCACCTGCCCCATAAATATATTCTTTATTTATGTGAATGTGACTATAGCCACTGGACTGTTAGCAAACATAGATTGAAGCACCATCAGTTGCTTAGTTTAGATTTCCCCATGATGCACCTGTTACGTTGTTAATTGTGTTTGATAGCACTAAAGGAGGATTTATACTTCTGACACTTTACAGTTTAAGTTGCCTGGATCTCTCTGGTGTATGAGATGACTTTAACCCACAGGAAGTGATTTTCATGGCCACCTGAGGGCAGTGGAAACAATGTATGAACACAAGCTCAACATATCATCACATTTTGAGTCGATATTACACATGTTTTAGCAGATAGTTTCTCGTTGACACATCCAGCAGCTACGGAGCAACATTATCATTCATTTGGAGTTGTGTCTCTGGCCATCTGAACCTAACCAGCTGCTGAGAGAAATATCTAGAAATATCTCTTACTGCTCCGCTATGTTCACCAGTTACCTTCAAACTGTGTTTGTCTGCTGGTCCTGAGCAGTGATTCACAGTAGGATTTTAAAGGCTTTTCTCTGAAAACAGCTGCCTGATGTGGGCGAAAATGGTGCCGTGAGAGTGGTTATAGTGAATCACAACAGTACAGTTTACGGGCCAGAGTGGTAAAGGTAATGGAGCAAACCTCGTTAGCCATATGTTTCCTGTAGGTGTTGGTGGAGGCTATAACACTGCTAAAAAGAGAGTAGATAGGCTTCTGCAGTAAAAATCCATCAGATATAGAGAAACATGTCTCCAAATAAATGTTATTGCTTATCTGTGTCTAATGGATGTGTAATTAACCAAATGTTTGTTAACACATTCACCATAACAGCTTTAGGAATGTGTTTTTCAGCTTGGTGATACCAGTCTTCTGCTGCCAAGATGTCAAAACAAATCTGTTATTGCAACTTTAAACTCCAATGAGTCAGTTTGCAGTGGAAATGGCTTTGCTAGATCACAAAATACAGCCTGTCTAGTGTTACTGATTATTCTTAATCTTAAACTTTCTTGATGTCGTCCTCAGCTCACAGCTCGGCCCCACCAGCATCAGATACTTAAAGGAGAAATCGTCATAGTCACCATCGCCTTGATGTGTAGTTTAACATTTTAAAGATGTGTACATTAACAATAGACCTTATGTGCGTATAGCTGCCAGCAGGAATCTCTTGTAAGTATAAATCTTGTTACACTTTAAGGATATCAAGACCAAAATGCAAAGGCAGGTAGATGCTGTGAAGATGCTTTTATAAAAGAGAACGTCCAAAACTTACAGACAAGTAAGCAGGAACATAAACATCCAAACAGAGGTAACAAAATAGGAACAAAAATAGATGCTCAAGATAACACAAGGACACTAAACAGGAACAAACCCAGAAAATCCAAACACAGGTATGTCTTGAAAACACAATGATTGGGAGAACAAAGACTAAATACACAAGGGAGGCAGGGATAATAGAACACAGGATCATGAGCAAACAAAGAACCTAAGTAAGACAGCCAACAGACACACAAGGTAAGTAATATCATAATGAAACAGGAAATATAAACAGTCCAAACAAAGAGTCACTGAAAGGGGCAGATATGACAAATCCAACTTCTGACATTTAATGACCACAGCAAAGTCCTGTAACAAAGAAATCAAAAGGAAGGCTCACTTCTTTTATGAAACAGGCAAATAAAAGTTTTTTGTGCTGACAAGGAAAATTAAGAAATTAAAAAACGACAAAATGTTGAAAGATTAATAAAATAGTGTATTAAGTTCTATACCTGAATGAAAGAAGAAGAAAATGAAAAGATACATACATTTTTGTGAGGTGGATATCTAACAAATTCGCAGTCTTTTTATTATGAAATTGTCTCTCTCTGCTTTCATTCTTTCCTTGCTAAGCTGCCGCGGAGAGACTGACAAAAGAGAACATATTATACTTGTAAATTTGGAAGAAACTCGTTTGATTTGTCAAACTCAGACAGCTGCTACATTTCGTATTAGATTTGGCTGAAATTTGGAGTTCATTTTTGCACAGAATGAGGACTGTGGATTTTGTCCCACTCTAAGAATGGGTCTCTTTGTTGCCCAGTATGGTCAGGAGGAACCACTAAAACCTCAGCACACAAACATTTTCAAAATACACGGGCATGTGAGGACTGTTTTAGGACATGTGAACCTACCCTTTAAGCATTGACCCTTTGAATTCACAGAAGAAATTGTCTAACTAATATCTACTTGATATTCAGATGGCACAACCCACACTATTATCAATGCAGAAGTTCATAATGCAGTAGCTATTACTCTCTTTGTCTGAAGGGGGCAACATCAACAAGTGCATTTCCAGGTCTAAGTTGCTGCTGCTGTTAGTTTTCTGTCCTCAAGGTGGCGCATTTCTGAGTGAGTTACAGCAAAGTACTTCATAGCGGCTCCTGTCGCCTAGCAACCTTGAATGCATGTAACGTTATAAGACCCTTGGTTGTAACAGTTGTACTGTTAGCTGTTGAACTGAGCTGAAACCGAATACTTAGATTTAAAAGTGTAATCCTCAGGCTGCCATATTTAGATCTTTGGATACGTTGGGCCATGAAGGAGCCATCTAAGCCTTCGTTGCCCAGGAAACGAAACAGGACAGCCTAGTCACACCACTGTGACACAATCAATCTTCAAAAGCAGCCTTTTGAAGGACAATTTTGACAACATGTTTATTCTTGTAACCATGACGACAAAGATGACCTAACCTTTGAACACAAACCACAATGTATCCCAAGTCATAGATTATTTTTTTTTTACCTAAATCTAACCAAACGACAGAAATGGCTGACCACGTCACTTTAATATCAAAAAGATGAAGGAAAATAGAGATGATTCAAGCTTTGCCATTTTCTTACCAAGTAGGGTAATGTTTTTGTTTTTTTTTGTTGTTTTTTTTTTTTTTGCTCTTGGTGATGTTGCAGTCACCTTGATCATTTCCAGCTCCGGAAGTACTCCAGACATCCTAACAATGGCTTATTCAGGCCAGATATTTTGATAAATAAAGTTCAAGCCGTCTTCCTTAAAATTACCTGTTACCATCTGTTCTTGTTCTCTCTTCCTGGCAGGAGGTGAAGTACTTTCAGTTTCCTGGTGAGCTGCTGATGAGGATGTTGAAGATGCTGATTCTCCCACTCGTCGTGTCCAGGTAATGACAACTATCCCCAGCACTTCATTAAGATATGATGATATATGATATAACCAGTATACAACCCTCACATCTTGAACCCACCTGCCAACTTCTATTCTCACTTTTTGTCACTGGACTGATGAGGAACGCTGCACATAATTGTGTCAGCTTCTAGACATCAGCAGGTTGCTCTCATCATTTAGCTAAGTGCATTTAGACCTGGCACTTTGGTAAGAAAACATTGCCTCTCCTAGTCATATGTATTTTTATTGAAGCAATTTCAGCCATATAGGTGATACAGATAATACATTTCAGTCGCTTCATTTTCTATAACAAAAATAAGAACAAATGGTGGAACAGAGGACAAGAACACAAACATATCCACTCTAACGAACAAGACCCTGTAAGACAAGTGCAAGTGCTGAAATAAAGGGGATGGACATAGTCAGATTCAATGCGAGTTGTTGAGGAGGTTTCTGGGTCCATAAGCAATAAAGTGTTTCTGAGGTTTCCTGAGTGTGTCCAGTGACTCTGAAGTGCCCAGTATAATCAACTTGGGGTCATGATACAGTGTCCTACCCACTACACTGGAAAGGATGTTGAAAATATCCTCCCAATATTTTGTCAATTTTGAACAGCAGAGCAAACTATGTAACAGGGTGCCTTCAGCAGAGCTTACTTCCTGTTTACTTTCTGAATAGTACAACCTATGCAGTACCTTGAATTGTATTAGACAGTGTCTAGCATTGGATGAACAAGTGTGTATATACTGTAGACTATCCTCCCAGATGTCTCCAGAGATCTCCTCACCCAGCTCCTTTTCCCATGCTTGCTTGATATTAACTGTGGGAGGAGAACTTAGGCTTTGAAACTTGTCATGCAAAAACACTATTAACTTTTGGAGCTTGGAAGCAACTTTAGACAATGATCCAATTTGTCTGGTTCTGAGGTGATAAAGTCTGGTAGATGTTGTTTAATATAATTTCTCACTTGTAGGTACATAAAGAATTTAGAATATGGTAAGTTGTGCTTTTACTGCAACCTTTGAAAACTGGCAAAGATATTATTTATATACAGATCACCTACTGAGTGAATACCATTAAGCTTCCATTGCATCAAAGCCCTTGAAGAAGGGAGGAAGGAAGGATTATTGGACAGAGGTATAAAACATTGCCTCTCCAAGAAACTAGATTTTGCTCCCCACTTATCTCTATGAAAAATGTGTTCACTGTCGTTTCAGAATTGACCCTGCCTTGTTTGCTGACGCACAAAATTGTGAGGCTCTTTGATTCCCGGCCAATTAGTACCAGGAAGTTTAAGAGTTATGTTGCCTCAGTATATCTGGGTTCAAATCTAGAAATAACATTAAAGTGTTTCAGGTAATTGAGTATTAAGCATTGTGCACCTTTAGGCCACAAAAAGGAAGTGTATGTGTGTGTGTGTGTGTGTGTGTGTATGTGTGTGTTTTTTACTCACTTTGTATGCCTTATCTTCACAGTATGTTGTATTTGTATCAGGAATAATAAATTACCTTGAGATGATAATAGTATCTTTATCAACCTGCTGAACAATTATTAACACTATTAGGCATCAAAATCAGGCTCTATCAGCCAAGAAATCTTTTTTATCACTTTCCTTAACATTGTGAGATAGGGCCTTTTTTTGACATTTTCATCAGGTTCTCAGGAAATAATATATGAATCATGATGAAAATCTGGCATACTTCCTTTTTTTCTATCATAAGCTAGTGTGTGTGTGTGTGTGTGTGTAGGGTTGTTTTGCACTGGCAGAGGTATGTGCTCTACTGAGTGCATTCTAGTTAAGTTATTAATTAGGCAGCTCATTCACTGTATGCCAAATGAAAAGCAGTTTAATCACGTGAATGAGTTCATTGAGTGAATTCAAGAGAGGGAGAGAGGGGAGAGAGATCCCAGAATGTGGCATCCATTAATATTTCTGATGATTTTAGTACCTCCAGGAGTGAAGTACTGTATTAACTCTATGCAAGTAAAACACATGCATATAAATAAATATTACAAAACCATTAAAGCGATTTCACTGGTAAAATATCTTAATTTTTTTAGTGCATATGCACCTCATTTATCAAAAGTCAGCTTCTGGCAGCAAATACTGTATCAATGGCTGACTCATCTGATGTAATAAGGTCACCAGCAGTCACCAGCCTTCGTCTCTTAATGAAACCCAGGTGCTGCTTAGATTTCAGGATTCTGCTGATAATGAAGAAAGAAACTGGAGCTCATGGATCATCGGTCTCCCTATTGAAGTGCAAATTAACAGTTTTGATGTTGAATAAAAAAAATTAAAAAAAACACATTTTCATTACATTTCATTTTTCACATTCAATAGAGAGTCTTGATGTTCTGCATGCTTCAGTTTTCACCTTTATAATTGACAGGTATGAAGAATTTATTTAATACACATCTAAAAAGAAGAATGGGCACTTACCAAGTTTTATAAATTCTGGTCAGAAGGTATATGAATCATAGGCATGACATTATCACTAATAAAATATGCTCTTAAGCAAGTATGTTAGCAATAAGAATTACATAACAATCCAGGCAATGTCTACACTGAGCTCACATAAGTGGTGACTTTTGATGAACTGATATTGTTCCCACTCTTTCATATGTTGTGTTAGATTCTATCATTCATACAGAACAGATGTTTTGAATGTGTGTGTGTGTGTGTGTGTGTGTGTGTGTGTGTGTGTGTGTGTGTCATTCAAAACAAAAATCTAACAAACACCATTAACTCTGATGTCTCTCCTCATGGTTACTAACACTCTACCTTATCTCTAAAACATTCAGGAAGTGAGAATCAATCATATGAATAACTTAACAGATTAGAAGCAGCAGCAGCAGTTCAGACTTCCCCTCTGAATTCTTTGCCTTTGTAGACCATGTGCAAATATTCAGGATGCACAAAAGAGGCGCTTGAAGAAGCCGACAATAGTCTGACATGTGATTGAACAACAACATTTAATAAAAGAATCACTTTGAACCTTGTTTTAGTTTATTTACAGTGCAAAGAGTGGGAAACAACTAGAGTAAATTGAATAAATGAATAAAAAACAGGCAACAGATAAAACTTATCTTGAGGAAAATGCAAAATAACAAATGAACAGAATTTCTGACAATTTCATAACAACACAGAAAAGAAAAAATCCAATAACAGTAGTTTTGTCTTTGGTGGTGAATATCTGATCTGTGCACATGGGTGTTATGGAAATTATTGGCTTTGAACAGGCCAGTTTGTCCAACCATCATGTTATACCCAGTTCATAGATGTTTTACAAGAAAAACAAGGTTAAATTAATTCACTAAATGTTCAGATACTGACATTTAGTGTTTTACAGCCACAAGGTGAATTACATGAGTATACAATATCCTGGCACACTGCTATCAATGCAGAAGCTCATAATGTAGTAGCTATTACTCTCTTTGCCTGAAGGGGGCGACATCAACAAGTGCATTTCCAGGTCTAAGCTGCTGTTGCAGGTATTTTTCTTTTCTCAAGGTGGCCCATTTCTGAGTGAGTTACAGTGAAGTGCTTCATAACAGCTGCTGTCGCCTAGCAACCTTGACAACATTACACTTGGACTCTTGGTTGTAAAAGTTGCACCATTAACTGTTGAACTGTAGTGAGTGACAGGGAAGTATCTCCCATGTGAGGTTTAACAGTTTAACATGGGAGTTTTTGACCTAACCCTTGAACCCAAACCAGAATGTGTCCTTTAACTCACTATACTTACTTTAACTCAAGCCATGATCTTTTCCTTCAACATAACATAAGTAAGGGTTTTTTGTTTACCTGAACCTAAACAAACCTTAACCATAGTGTTGGCATAGCGTACACTCAACCTGTCACTAAAAGCAGCACAACCTCAATTATGCATAACTTTAAGCCTTAATGAAATTTAAGAGATATAATACAGACCAAAACTGTTTATTTTTGTACCAGGCTGTGAACATTATCATTTCTGCTTTTAAGTTGTGCATTTTTGTATAGAGGTCAATGGGGATTGACTCTTTTGGAACCAGCCTCAATTGCAGGAACTGCAATTTTAGGAGCTTCAGTGTTGGGGGACATGGACAAATAATGTATTTTGTCATTCAGTTTGGAGGACATTGAATTAATCATGAATGCCCAACCAAGGTTTTAACCTTTTTTTTGACCAAGGAAATAGCTCTTGAGAAACAATCTCACCACAGCGTCCATTTGGTAGTTTTTATGGAGGTTTTGATTATATTAAATGATCTTCCTCTGCATGATGTAGTCATGTAAATGTAGTGATCATTCTCCGCCTTGGAAACAGCAGTAAGGAAAACAGTCTCTAAATTCCAGAAGAGTTACAAAATGAACCTTGTTGTGAGACTGAGTGCATGTCCAAGTTCATTTTTGATTATGTTTTTTTCGATAATTTGTGAGGTTGCATTCTTCTCTATAGGTTGGCAATATTGTCCAAACTCTTAGCCTCCTAAAACTCTTGCTAAGTGTATTTGTTTTGTGCCAACAAGTTGATATTTTGGAACTACATGGTTTTCAAAGAACCAATGACATTTGTGTCTAACTAATGTTTCCTCTTCCAGTTTGATGTCAGGACTGGCTGCCCTTGATGCCAAGTGTTCCAGCCGGCTTGGTCTGATCACAGTGTCTTATTACCTGTGGACCACCTTTGTGGCTGTGATAGTGGGGATCATCATGGTCTCCATCATCCACCCAGGTGGTGCAGCCCAGAAAGAGGACTCTGAGGACAGTGGCAAGCCCATCATGAGCTCTGCTGATGCTCTGCTAGACCTCATCCGGTAAGACCACCGTCATATCCGTCTGACATTAGCCTACATGTGTGCACCATCAACAGCTGACTCCTACTTCATGATTCCAACATAATATGTGAACATTTTGCATTTAATTCAATTCAAACAATTCAAAATTCAGAGAGAGACAGTGACTATTGCACATATTGTTGTATTCAAGCACTGTCAGACTGATGACAATAACACTGATACGTATAGATGTAATAATGATGCAATGATAATACTGATAATAATAATGATAATAACAATGATTATGATACAAGGAGAGATGAAGTAGTCGGTGTGTCACTATGGTCACCAGCTGCCACATGAAGCACATGCTGTCGGGTTGTCTAACCTTAAAGGGAATCCCATCAGAAGAAGTCCACATCCACCATGTCAAGTGTTTCTGTTCCATTAATCAGTGACTTCAGCACAGATGTTGTTAGCTGGTCTGCAATGTCACAATGTCACATCAGAGGGAGGATACTTAGCAGAGAACAAACAGGGTATGGGAGGGCAGCAGTGAGCCACCATCCTCAGGAAAACTGCACACTGAAAGCTTTACACAGATTATTTCTGTGCATCAGGGGATTTGTGTTGTCAAGGTTTAAGGGTGATGCATAGAGTTCTGTAAAGACAAGAGGATGAGGTGTAAGGTTTTGAGGTTCTGCTCCATGTTGAATCATTAAGTAGATTTAGTAGATTAGTAGATTTGTCAGCTGCACATTCATGCTGCCCATCTCCTGTTTTACCACATCACGAAGGTGTTCCACTGGATTCAGATCTGGTGACTGCGGAGGTCATTGAAGTTCGCTGAACTCATGTCATGTTAATGAAGCTGGTTTGAGACGGCTGTTTTGTGACATGGTGCATTATCCTTTTGGAAGTAGACATTAGAAGATGGTAAATTGTGGCCATAAAGGGAATCACTGACTTCTGCTGTTGTAGCTCATCTATCTCAAGGTTCTACATTATGCATATATATATATGTATTTCTCTTCTCATCTTATTATTGAATCATATTATTCTTGATACTTTGGAAATAGCTAACTGAAATGAATTGAAAATGAATTGAGGAAGAGAGAGAGCAGCATGTCAGTAATGAGTCCCAATGAGGAATGTGGAGGATCTGAAGGTTTACTTCATCATTATTGTTGCACATCAGCATCACATTATCATAGGTTTGCAGGGGTACTCTAGTAATTTAGTATTGCACTTCCACATAGTTGTGGGACTTTTTGAGAGACAGCAGCAAAAGAGGCCAAGAGGACCAGAATGCAACTTGTTTCATAAAATCCTTGCCGTCTGGTAAATATGCATATTTTTAAAATTCAGTTCGTAACACAAACTCTATGTCTCTATGCTGAGCTGTAGAGTCACACGATTAACATACAACATTTTTGTGGCAATCTCGTTGATTTCAGTCCTGGTTGATTTGGCGACGCTTGTAGTTACTGTTAATTAACTGCTGGTTCCAATTCTGGGTGCAGCAAAACAAACATGTCGTTTTAATAAAGAAGTCAGGAAATAACGGGCCCTCTTTCATCATTCTGTGAGCAACTGTGATCTGATTTTATGCTGCACACGGCTCGAGTCAGTAAACAGCAATGCACAGTGAAACAAGCTGGTTACCTCTCTGAGACGTTAAAGGTGTGCAGACTGTTGCCTGCAGCTTTTCATCCAACAGCTCACTGTAGCTGCTGCTTCATGGTCCATTACTCCCTGAAATATTCCAAATTGATCTGTTTTTAAACATATTTTGGATGAACTATCGTGGTAAGTGCTGAGTTCGATTCAATTCAATTCAACTCAAGAACTCTTATTTGTCACCAGGGAGCAATTTAAAGGGAACATAGAGAAGACATTAAAGCACATACAAAATATGCAAAAAAAAAAAAAAAAGACCACACAACTAGTGGCAAGACAAACTGTATATACATTAAGAAAGACAAAAAGAAACATGACATAATTGGAAAAAGAAAATTCATAACGGTGCAAAACAAAACCAGAAACAGCTTTGGGGACAAATGTTGCCCTTCTCCTCTGTGTCCTACAGCGCCCTGAGGGGAGCCACTCAAATGCAGGAAATATACTGAAATATTTAAAGCATACACACATTGTCATATCTAACACACCCATATGAACAAAGTACAAATGGGTGTACGCACAGCATGTTCCTATGTCAATATTTCTGAAAGTTGTGACATGTAGTCAACAAAAATACAAATACAGCAGCTCCCCACATGCACCAAACCTCTCGACACTACAGGTGGCACAGCAGCAGTGGGTCAGCTTTCTGTTGTGCAAAATAATGTGTTCCTCATATGCTATTCTATTGCTTAACTGCTGTCAGTGCTGTATGTTCCCAATATACTATACTATACTATACCTAATAGACTGTTTGGATTTGCTACAAAACCTGAGACAGGATTAAAAATATTGGTTGTCTTAAGCTTTTCAGTTCCTGTACTGGGGGATGACATCATTGTTGACCACTAAACATTTAATCTTCTTTGACAGGAAATGTTACTCAGATTTTCAGGCCCAGTACTAGTAAACAGAACTGTTAAGGCTAAGCTTGCATTGTGTCTCTGTAAGTATTTGTTTGGTTGTCTAATCCAAACATTTTTATTTGAGGCTCTTGGGGTGAGACTTAGTTCAGGCCATGAATCAGACATTACAGAGCTGTGAAGGCAGACTGAATGCATCAACAGGTAAAGTCAGCATAAACTCTAACAGTGGGACTGGTTCACAAATGCATGTTTGTTTTAAAGGTGTTTACAGGCAGTACTGCCAACTTTGTTGTTGTTACATTTACCAACTTGTCAGACCACTTTAGTGACTTTAGTAACCTGCAGCTGCTTTTGGTTAAAACGTAACTACTTTCTGTAGAAGACAGTCACCAGTATTGCGCGTTAGTTGGGCTTTTCCTCCACAGGCATAACTCACTATGCCTCTCATTCAATCGACCAGCTTGGAAGTGACTGTTCGTTGACATGTACTTTTAATGGGCCACGTTTCAGTCAGTATTTCAAACTTGTTCTGTTGTCTGACAACAGAAACAGAAAAACATGTATTTGAAAACCATCTCATCACCCTTTATGCCATGATGGAGTATTAGGGCCAACATTTGGGGAGAAAAAAATTGTCCTTTTAAAAAGTTATGTTATCATATTTCTGGGAAACCTGTAATATTGCATATTGTAATATTTCCTATGTAGTCTTTTGCACACAAATGGATGGTTTACGCTTTTAAACTATTGTGCCTTATTGGTTTTCTTTGGCTTCATGTTTCATGTGCTTCATACAAGAAACATTTCAAGTGGCTATGATGGCAGGTTTGGAAGATCCTACAGCCTCTGTGAAACATAGGCCAGGTCACCGCAGACAGTCAGCTCATTTTTTACCTCAGCTGATCTGATGAACAGGTTCATGACAGAAACAAAGATGCTCTCTTCAAAGTTGTTTAGGGCCTTCATTGTTGTCTCAGCACGACACCAGTGGAATGAAAGGAGGGTTTGTTGCTGTTGGCACTCTTAAATCTTTCTAGAGGTATTCCTTATGAGTCATGCTCTGTTTCTCTGTTACGGCTGTTGTAAAAGTTTGTATTTGGACCCGAAAGCAAACTCAGACTAAGGCGGGGGAGGGTAAACGGTTTATTCACAAGCGAGTTTCTCTGGGGAAGCTGATGGCTGACTGAGGAGTGCCAGAGCTGAGCGGCTGAGGATGAAAAGCAGGGGTCAAGGCAGTGGGTTTGGCAGTGGTGGTGGTGGTGGTGAAGGCCGAGCCTGGCTGTCGCGGACAGAACAATCTGGCAATGAGTGGATAGTGGTTGGGATTCTTGAACAGTGCTTGATGAGTTGATGGGTAGCAGGTGTGGAATGATGCCAGGAGAGAGAAACCACGCCCACACACACACACACACATACACACACACACACACAGTGAGTGAAAACAAGGAAACACGAGAAAAAACTCCATAGCAGAGCCGTAACATTCTCTTTGTCTTTGGCTTTTCTTCCTTCTGTTGGATCTTAATATGGTCATTGAGTGCATAAACAAAGTCTGTATTGGATTAGAGGCTGAGCTGTTTTTGTTGTCCTGAGGTTTTCAGTCCTAGTTTTATCCAGATTCTTGAACAAGGATACAATTCAGACCATACAAGATAACAAGAAAACATACAAGAAAACAAGGGTTTTGGATTTATTTTTCAAATGTGTTCAACAAGAGTTTGTCTAAATAGAGATTAGAGATCAGAGATACTATTTTCTAGTTGAGAGTCTTATGAAAAGGTTATATTTTGTTATTTTAATGGTCTACTTTTAGGAAATGAATGTATTCGATGCACATTAAGCTTTGATTAAAGGTTCTGTAAATGATTGTCACTGCCACTAGACCACCAGCATCTCAGACCAAAACAAATGCTTCATTGGCCACATCTCCGGCCTCCATTCAGACACAACCCTGCGTTCCCTCCCTTCTCGTTCTTCCTTCTCAGGAAAGTGTTACCAAGCGAAGTGAAAGCGATCACTAGACACACACTAAGAAACACAACAGAATAAAGTTACTGTGTACACGAGAGACAAAAAAACAAACAAACAAACAATCCAGCCACCACCTTTAGCCCATGCTGGCATTGCAACGATATGCCCCACAACAATGCAGCGTTGCAATGCAATCAGCCAGTTAGTGAAAGAGTAAGTTAGCTAACGTTAACGTGTCTACTTTAACCACTCACTGATAAAAACAGATGTGTCACATTATGTAGCCATCAAGTTACTTACACATTAAGGAGAAGAAAACACAGTTCAGAGTCAAGCTGTAGCTCTTCAGCAGCTCGAAAGTCACTCCATCACAGTGAAGCCAGACCAGTATTGGCTCCACACTCAGACTGGGAAAGAAATTCAGCTTTGGACTTATGTGTTGGGACCAGCCACATGAATGATACTGACAGAGCCTGTAAAGACACTGACGGAGTCGGTAAACACTTTTGGATGTTTGGACAATCCACCGGCTAATCGGGATTTGAGCCGGTAGTCCCCATGGTCATTCCACCTGCGCTCTGGTCTCTCCTTTTTAGCCTGTTTTTTTTCAGTGGAGAAAATTCTGGAAGGTCGCTTTAACCTCAACACTGCCTACTGCAGTGTGCCATCTTGTGTGTGGACGGTGCCTGTGTGTTTATAAACGGGGGGGGGGGGTTTAACAGGAGGGACTCCCATGCACCAACATGTACACGTATGTGCGCTAACATGCACGTGCAACCAGACCAGCTACCAAAGCAAAGAAGAGAGAAACTCACAGTGACTTCGTTCTCTGCTCAGGACGCCATGACGCGAGTATATCTTCACAAAGAAAATAGTTGTTTGCTGCTGTATTATTGTTTAAAATCTCATTTACAGAACCTTTAATATATCTGTTAGTATTTTATGCTTTGGTTGTATTTTAGAAACAGGGTATGTAATTGTGTTGATAATTGATAATTAAATTATGGGGTTAATATGGTTTTCCTGGGTGTCACTTGTAAGTGATCTATATTTTATTGTTAAGTTAACACACCTTTGTGTGTGATTAAGTTTGTGCAGCAGTTAATGGTAACTTTAAAAGAGTCTGTTTCAGCCATTATTGTCAGACTTCATCTAGCTTTTCATGTTTTATACTTCCCCCTCTCTCCAAACAGCAGAGCATCTGGTGAGAGTAGTGTAGTGGATGTGTTTTTTAAAATGACTCTTTGGAAAGCAAGCCCATAGTTGTCTGGGGTAAAAGTTAAAGTTTAGATTGGGCAACCGAAGATATTTGGATCTTTTTTATACAAAGTCTATGATTTGGAGAAGGTTAGAGCGAGGTTTTGGTCATGGTTAAACAAATCAGATTTCGCTGACAATAAAACAGTCTTTCAGCTGTTTCTTTCAGTTAACCTCCTTTTTCTTCATTTGTGGGATATCATAAAAATGAGAAAGTGTTGTTCTAAATAACTCTGAGCATGATGTGAGGTCAAGCCTGAAGAATATGTGTTTCCAATTTCTGTATTGCCCAACTTCAGCAGCTGAAATCAAACAGAACAGCAAGCGAAGAAATTATCTCATCATGATTTGGTTCGTGTAGACATGCAGGATACCTGACTGTCACCCGATTGCATTGAGTGAAATAGCAGGAGAGTGATCTAGCCTGTAGCTACAATTGAATATTCTCATTTTATTTTTGTTGTTTTTTTTCCTTTTTCTACCACCTCTCTTGGAGAGAGCTTCAACAGTGAGAGCTGCACTGTTCACTGTCCACTGTCGCAGCCTCCCGCTCTGTGTTATGTTCATAGAACTGGGATGTTTCCTTTGGAACCTGCTGACTATGACTCATGGCCATTTCATTTACACCAAAGCAAGAAACTTTAACACATCCCTTCAGCTTTATAGTGAAGACAGATCTAATTATATGAAAAATGAAGCATTTATATTGTTACGTGTGAGAGACAAATCCCAGTATACTAATATTAACATTTATTAAACTTATTAAAGCATACGGCATCTGATTCTTTGTTTCCTGTCTTGTTTTTCAACATTTTTGACACATAAAGAAAATGTTTCTTTTTGTCTTGCAGCAACATGTTCCCATCTAATCTGGTTCAGGCCACATTTCAGCAGGTAAGACCTTTCACACACCACCTGCAAACACAAAGGCTCTGCAGTTTTTTTTTTTCAACATAAATGTTAGTGATTTTCTGCTTCTGTTTCTATTTCCTGGCAATAGTATCGAACAAGTAGTGAGTACATTGTGAAACCCAAGCCAACAGTGAGTCAGGCACAATCAGAGTCCACCACACGGCGGGCACTCATATACGGTATCCAAGATGATAATGGAACTGACATACAGAACTTCGCCCTTGACCTGACTCCACCCCCTGATGTGCTCATTCGCACTCGGGAGGGAACGAGCGATGGAATGAATGTCCTTGGAATTGTAATTTTTTCAGCAACCATGGGTAAAAACATACATTATTCTGTTATGTACCTTTTGGCCTCAAAGCTCGAACTTATTATTGCAAATCTATTTTTAAAGACTGCACTTTGTGTTTCCACAGGCATTATGTTGGGAAGGATGGGGCGAAATGGCAGCGCCTTGGTGAATTTCTGCCAGAGTCTGAATGAGGCTGTCCTCAGAATTGTTGCCATTGTTATATGGTGAGGATATCTTTTTTAAATTCTATTAACAGGTTGTGCAGCCGATGGATCGAAAACTCATTGCCATAATGTCACAATGGTTTTGTCTATATAAAATCCAGGACTCTGAGCAGATCACGAATATTTATCTAGGTATGCACTCTGAGAAACCACAGCTACAGCTTAACTGTAACAGCAAATATTCTTTGTAAGAATCATGTCTGTGAACATTTAGTATCAGCATATTTGTGACTTGCCAACATATCCTCAATATTTTAAAAGTCCCATATTTTACACTTTTCCACTGTTTTATTTGAAGTGTTGATCCATAAGAAGAAATATTTGTGGTTTTAAGAACCAAAAACTATCTCAATGTAGTTTTGCATCTCCTCTCTCAGGCTTCTCTCTGGAGCTCTAGTAACAACAGGTCGGTGAGCCAATCAGAAGAGAGGAGGTTCATAGCCCCCTTCTGATTGGCTGACTATTTTCTGAGTGATCAAATAAAAATATAGCAGATTTCAGGTCAACACTCAGAGTAACCAAATCCTGCAAGGTTGGATGCTGGGTCCAGGTGGGCAGGACTTAGGGCATGGCTGAGAGCAGTGACTGCTTTGTTGTGACATCACAAAGTTCCAGAAGTCCTGACGGCTCGTTTTAAGGCACAGTTTCTGAATACAGGCTGTGTGCATTTCTCTGTGGACTGAGCGCATTGACACTTTCACAGTATTAACATTTCTATATTCTAGACCTGCTTTATAATAAAACAAGACATGGAAATACAGTATGGCACCTTTAAAATAAAATTGAATCTTGTCACAGTTCCATTTGGTACAAAACTAATTGTTGTTGTAGTTTAGTTGTATTGAATCTTATTTTGTAGGAGACATGGTAACTCTGAGATGAAAAGGGTTTTTTTGTCATGATAATGAACATTTTCCACCAACTTCTTTTGAGAATCGAGTTTATGGTTTGTTTCTACCCCCCACTTGCACAAGCATCTCATGATGATGTTGTTCAAAAATCCATCTCTAGGTCAACAAGTCTGAAGTTGTATAACCTATAAAAGACTTTCACACCTACTGTCACTGACTTTGAACTACTCCTCATCCAGGTACTTTCCATTTGGCATTGTGTTCCTGGTGGCTGGTAAGATCCTGGAGATGAGTGATCCGTCAGCCATGGGGAAGAAGCTGGGTTTCTACGCTGTCACTGTGGTGTTTGGTCTGGTGTTGCATGGCCTGTTCATCCTGCCTGCCATGTACTTTTTCATCACCAAAAAGAGCCCCATCGTTTACATACGGGGAATCCTGCAAGCCCTGCTCATTGCCCTTGCAACTTCCTCCAGGTAAAGTGAACAAACTCACTTAATTTAACTTGATTTTTTATTATATTGATGTGCTATGAGAAGCAAAGAGAAGTGAACGATTTTTATTTTCTCATTTGTGAATCAGATTTTCACGTTTCTGAGTCCTAGTGCCACAGATCCTTTCCTTTTGTATCCGCTCACTGGAACGGGACCATAAAAAGCCTCAAAGGGATGGTGGGAGATCAGAAAACATCTGGAGTGTGTGGGAAGGGACAGGAATTTAAAGGAGCATTCTGTGCATTCGATTCTACTGGCATTCATCCACTGATATGTGTATGTGTGTGGGTTCTGGTCTGCATGTGTGCATGCACATGTGGTTGATAGTTTGGGATATAGCACCTCAATATAAGTAGCAGACATTATGTTCACTGTGGTACGTATCAGACTGGTTTCATTTTTAGCCCATACAGAGATGAGCGAGAACCGGTGGGTGAGCAACAAACTGAAAATCTAAAACCAAAACAGCATGCTTTGGAGAATGCTCCTCAGAAAATGTTTCCATGTTAAGTCAATTCTTGTTTTTGAGGCAGCCTGGAGAAAGTGTGTTTTCAGCTTGTGCTATAATGATGCTGGTGATCACAGTGTTTGGAGGCTAGAGTGAATGCCTGCTGCAGTGACTGGCTATCATCTTACAATCATGTGTGTGCTGGGCTCAGATCAATAAAATGCACCTGTGAATGCTGAATGTCTTGTAAAATTTTGCTGCATTTCATCTTGTTTGGAAGAGTTTCAGCTGTTTCTTTCATCACAACAAACCATGAATGATAAGCATTTGTCTACACACAAGCCCAGGAGAAATTAGGAGATAGTAAAGTAATGCTTTTTTGCCTGACCTTTCACTGTTTTGAGCTCTCTGCCTTGTTCTCTGTCTTCCTCAGCTCTGCCACATTGCCTATTACCTTCAAGTGCCTCTTGGAAAACAACCACATTGACCGCCGTATCATCCGTTTTGTGCTCCCCGTGGGTGCCACCATCAATATGGATGGCACCGCTCTCTATGAGGCTGTGGCAGCGATATTCATCGCACAAGTCAATAATTATGAGCTGGACTTTGGCCAAATCATCACCATCAGGTCAGTGGACTGTGCTTTATACCATCTGTGCTTAAAAGCTCATTAACATGGGAAAGATATCTTTAGGATTTTAAAGCAATGATATCAGCAACATTCAATCCTTTGAGCTGAATAGCAGAAATACATTATGGCACATTTATGTCTGTATTTTTTTTTAAATATCCACTTTACTTTCTTTGTTTTTTCTGATCTGATTAGTTGCAATATATATGTAGGAAGATTTAAGCAAGTGTTCTATGTATTGTTATATGTTATGTTATGTTATATGTAGGCATTTTCACCATTGACTGTTTCAGTTACATCCTCACCTGGATTTATATGTTCATATTTTGGACACTATGTAATACAAGAGTAACTCTGCCACAGGTTTACACAGCCTCCAACCAGGTGCAGAGGACACTGCCCTTCTTCAAATTATCAAAGAAAACTCTGTAAATACACCGAAGGTCATCCAGCTGAACCAGCTGAAATGATTCAGGCCCTCGTGGCACTAAAGTAAACCTTGAACAAAAAAAACAAAAAAAAACAAAACAAGGATTGAACCTCATAGTGGAGAAAGCCTCTGACCAGGCTCAGCAGTGGATAGAGCAAATAGGCCTGAGCAGGGGGACAACTTATGGGACTCCAGCCCCGGAAGTTTTCCCAAAAGCCCCGACCTTATATGTGTCACGACTGAGCAAGGACGTGAACCCAAATGCACGACTCAAGACCCACAAAGTACAAAATAAACAATCTTTTATTGATAAAGTAGCAACACAAAATCACTCGCTCAGAGGAATCCAAAAAGGTAACAAAAGTAGCAACTCAAAATCACTCTCAAAAGGAGGCATAAACTACTAAGCAAAGTACAAACAAAAATCCCTCTTGATAGAGGAAAACAATTGCGTGACGGAAATAACAAGGCCAAAACAAGAACTCAAAAAACCTGACATGACTTGGACTCAAGGCGAGGAATGGCTTGGCTCTCTGTATCCAACAAGACGAACTAGCACAGGACAAAGGGAGACACAGACTCTAAATACACACAAGGTAAGAGGACACAGGTGGAGACAATCAGGGAGGGGCAGGCAATCAGACTGGCGGGAAACACACGGGGGAAAGGAGCAAGTTATCTGAAACGAGAGGGAAGTAAGATTTCAAAATAAATAATAATAATAATAATTTTCTCTCAGTCTCTATGACTGGACTGGCGAATCAAAATATGCTGCAAAGGGATCTGCAAATCCACAAACAAATTCCACAAATGAAAACATAGGCTATCTGTGAATACATTCAATTAATTTACAAATAAATAAAAATCATTTGTGAATATCTTTTTCCTGCAGTATATACTGTTAAGGTGACTGTGTCCAATTCTCATCCCGCTTATTATTATTTGCTCTTTCTGGTTTGTTCCCCTGCTTCTTAACCCTCCCACTCAGTTTTGGATTGAATGCAAGTGTCTCTTGTGGATGTATTATTTTGGCTTACGCATTTAAAGCAAAGTCAGCGCCTTTCGGCCTAATGCCTGTATGTATATTCCCTGCACACTCCGTTTCCTGTTCACCCGATTTCCGAAACTGTCACAGGTATGAGAAGATCTCTGCGTTTTTTTGTTTACTTTTCTTATGCTGATATTTAAATTATTTTGGCAAAGATTCGCCCGGGTCTGGGCGGAGAGATCTGGCTGAAGTGTGGTTCGACTGTTTTTTCTGAGTCCAACAACCCACAACCAGGCCTGAAGCACACCACATAGCAGATTACATAACGTGCTGTTTTACTAACAGGCACGTTTACACAACATGAGTATTCACATAAACAGCATGAAGTCCACAAGCAGCAGCAAAAATCAATAAACTGCGGTGGTAAGTGATGGTAAACTGCAAGTATAAATCTTGATGATATAAACTTAAAAAGGTCATTCTAAAAAAGTCAAAGGTTTCCCACTAAATTACCTCACTAACCCTATAATCTACAGTAGCTGTTTAGTGTTTCCCCTAAAAGATATCATCCAGATTTTGAACTGGATATAAATCTTAAGATTTTTGTGTAAGAAATTACACAAACAAACTCTCAGCATCAGAGCCCTATTCATTGTTATAGAGCAAACTGGGGTGACATTGCACATTTTAAGGTTCTCCCTTTTCTATACTTAAGAGGAGAGTGCCGCATTCATGCTTTCATTCGTCTTTGTAATTTCTCAAGTAACTCTGCTGGTGCTCAAGAAGTGGGTGTGGCCTTCTGGGAGAGAAAACTGACAGCAGAGATTACAGAAATCACACACCAGTGCACAGAAAATAATCTACAATCAGAGAGTAGCATTACAACCTACAAACAATATGTGATAAAGTGCGGATATCTGTCTTTGCAAATTCTGAGAATCCATGGAACGAATCTTAAACTTCATCCACTGTCTCTTCTTCCTGTGTGTATCAGCTATGCACACAAGAAAAACGTTGTTTCATCACACCATTACAGTGACTCTCCAGTGAGGTGGCATAAATACTAATGGAGCACATTCAGCATTTGACCTGCCTTGTGCCACCAAGTACAAATAAAAGAAGAAACTTTCAAAGATTTAACACATGGAAATCTTCTCTGAACCATGTGAACATCAAATAATAAGAACTTCTTTTTATACAGTTTTGTTAGATTTGAATATTAATGGTAACATGCCATGTTTGTTATGTTTTCTCTGATGTGATTTCTTTGAAATAAAGCAAATAATAGCATGTAGTAAGAAAATAGAAAACAATATTATCGTGGCTCATGGCTCATCATTGTTAGAGGAAGGTCATGTCTTCTCAATTAAAGATTGTCTCCATTTTTCCTTAAACATTAATTAAAACATAAAAGTATTGCATCTTTTGTAGTTGTCAACCTCCCCTATGTTTAATAATAATAATAATAATGATAAAGTTGATTTATACAGCCCTTTTCATACAAGAGATGTAGCTTAAAGTACTTCCCAATAAAAAGGACAATGAAATTAGACAACAGACAGTAGATGATAAAATATGTAAACGAAAATAAAACAGAGCATTTTTTTTCTATATGATTCCATATTGCAACTCTAGATGGAAACTATCCGCTTATCCCTGTCTGAAAAGAGCCATGTGGCCTCGATAAACCATCATATCCCAGTCACGCCACTGCTAAACCCCTGACCCCAGCTCGCCCCCCACCCCCCCACCACCATCTCTCACCATCACGCTGTGATGAGGGGGGTGGGATCATCCCATCCTCAACCTCTGGATCTGCACCAGATACCACATGTAGTTCACTCTCCACACGGCGTCAACTGTTCTCAACTCTCTCTCAATTTAGCATCGCAGAAGATGCGTCTAATCAGTATGTAGACACATTATTAGTTTATTCTGCTATGAAGGAGCACTTGCCTGTTTCTTCTTTTGATTTCTTTCCAAGAACCAATTCAAAGACAAAAAGACTTCATTTATATAATCTGAAGCGTATGCGCTCGACTTTCCCTTTCTTATGATCAGTAATTGCTGTAATCTTTCATCAAAACAAGCTACCTGCTGTGTGCTGCTGCCCATGGGGGAAGTAGGTCAGCTCAATAGAAGGTTGACTCAGTCTGTGAGAACTCTAAAGGAGGGCAAAATTATGTTTGAGACTAAGTGAGAATCCCCAGTAAGTGATTTACAGCACTACAAAAGTACAACATGTGGATTATGTTGTTTGATTTCCCCCTTTAAAGCCACTGTGTGTAGGATTTTAGATGTGATGATAAGATCTTTAGATTTCTTTGGTTTTTCTTTGTAGAAAAATTAGACAATTTGTTCAGGCTTTCTGACCATTCATCTCAGTGGTCCCCGCTGCGATACTGCAGGGATTAGAGTGGAACTGTCCTCCCGGTGCTAAAACCTATCGCCACACAAGAGCTTCCTTCAGCTGTATTTATTGAAATCTTGATGCACCAAGGAGGAAATGATGAGCAGCACAAGTGAATCAGAGTTGTGCTACACCGATTCCTGAAGTCCTTTCTAACAGGATGTATATAACTCACAGCATTACATGGTTACATCACACATCTCTTGTACCATTTCCAAATAAGGTTCTATTGGTGACTTAGACCTGAACATAGTCACATGTCTTGTCCTCCCTTTTGCCGTACTTCCAACTCATCCTTGTCTTAGTGGATTCAGGCAGTTCTCTCTTAGTTGTACTTTTCCCTGTATCCTTATCTATAAGACCTCGGTCGTCATAGTTTCGGAGGGTAGAAGAGGACGCTATCAGTCATAAAAGAAGTTAAACAGTAAGCTATTGTCTAACAATATGAGGTCTCTATCACATGTACCCTTGGAGTGATAGTGTGGGCCTACAAAAAAAAGTACAATATCAATACTGGATCATCCAGCTAAACCAGGACTGTGTTCGATGCCACTAAACACCTGGTTAACATTAAGGATATAACCTTACTCACTTACTTAATCCTTTATGGATTGAAGGCCCCCAATGAATTACTTCCATTGTCCTCTATCCTTTGCAACATGTCTTTTACTGCCATTTACTGCTCATGGACTCGCCATTGCAGTCACCGTTGCCTTACGTCAGTGATGGTGTTCTGGCTTTTGGTTTTTCTGTATAATTCCAAGGTTGTGACCTTGTTGGGTCAGAAGATGCCTCATAGATTCTCAGGCATTCATTGTGGAAAGCCTCAATTCTTTTTTATTTCAGCCTTCAGCTTGTATTCAGAACATACAACAACATGGACTATTACACCATGAGCTTTTCCAATGAAAACTATGGTAAAAAGGTAAATGGACTTGCACTTACAGGTATATAGCGCTTTTCTAGTCTTACTGATCGCTCAAAGTGCTTTACAATACTTGCCACATTCCCCCATTCACACACACATTCTGTGCGTCAGGGGCTGGGGATTGAACCACTGACCTTCTAATTAGTGGATGACCTGCTCTCCCTCCTGAGCCACAGCTGCCCCAAAAACTAGTGCTGGGGGCGTTGTATTAAAATGCATCACCAGAGTTTTGGAGATGTTGATGTTTAGACTTGTTTGCTTGGCAAATATATGGTTCACTGTTTAGCTAGCTATGCGTTAATTGCAGGTCTGTGAAGGGAAACAAATTGTCCGATGTGGATGTAATTTTTGGATATTAGGCTGGTTTTTGATTCTACTACAGAGTGTGCCAAAGTTGGAAATTTTCTACACCAAAAGGCGGAAAGTCAAGGAAAGTATTTGCTTAGGCAAATTTCCTGACAAAATGAAAATATCCTAGCAAAAATTTCTAAATTTGTAGCAAAGAAAAAATACCCACAAGAGAGTAAAGAAATGGACAGAGAATTGCAAGTGAAAAAGTACAGATATAATATGTTTGTTTATTTGCCGTGACATCCCATGCAAACCACTCCTCAGTTGTGACAATTCTAATGTTCATATCTATTAATTGACGTTTCTCTCTGATCAAATCCCTACCAGCATCACAGCCACTGCAGCCAGTATTGGTGCAGCAGGGATACCACAAGCCGGACTGGTCACCATGGTGATAGTGCTAACATCCGTCGGGTTGCCAACCGACGACATAACTCTTATAATTGCAGTAGACTGGGCTCTGTAAGTAGCATGTGTGTTCACTTCCGTCTTTTGTGTAACAGATCCAAACTAACACATGAGCCAAGTCACTGATATTCTCTCTCAATTGTGTTTCTCCTCTACAGAGACAGATTCCGCACTATGGTGAATGTCATGGGGGACGCTTTGGCCACAGGCATCATGGCGCACATCTGCAGGAAAGACTTCATGAAAGAGGGAGATGGGGTGAGTTTTAATTCAGGCAAAGCAACAACACTTGCTATGAGACTTGCGCAGTAGTAACAGAATTACACACAAATTTAGTTATGTCATTAAAAGGGCAGTTTAAAGCATAGCAAGAGCTGTTCATGAATGATTGAGCTGTCAAAGATTGCCAGTGTCTGAATGACGTCATATTACTTTTTCAGTTTCTGTAAATTTGCTAAAGACGGCAACAGAGCAGACACTCAGGGAGGATGTTTTTGTGTATGAGTAAGATATACAACATCCAAAGAATATCATATAGAATACTTTAATTACAGTAAAAGAAACTCCACCGCATCTTTTTTAAATTTCATAATATCACCGTCTTCCCCATATACTATCTTAAATTCTCTGTCACCCCCAGGTGCCTTTGATCTGCGAGACCAAACCTGTGACGAACACACCGCCTCTGATGAACTGCCACAACAACAACGGCAACTACCGGCCCCCTTCATCGGGGCTCAAACATGAGCTCGTCCCTCCTGACGTGGCCCGGCTCATGCAGCTGGAGGAGGGCGTGCGGCCACCGTCCGAGAGGAAGAAGCCTCCAATTCCTCCGAGGCACCTGAAGAAGAGCAAAGAACACTGTACCGTTGACATGAATGGCCTTGAGACCAACGTATAGCATCCTCTTCCTGGAGTTTTTTTTTTTTTGTAGTTGCGCTGATCACACCCTCAGAGCAAAGGACTCCAGTACAGGTAGGACGACAGCACGACCAAGCTCATCTTTGTCTCATAGCGTCAAAATGTTTCGGTGACAAAATGCGGTCCTGAAGGCTTTGAGGAAGGCATTTTAACGCAAATCTGTTGGGTTTTTTTTTGTCATAGTAGCTGCGAAATGGTTTCTGGACAAGACTCATGTTGGAATTAAAGACAGCAAAAGGACAACAGTCTAATTCTTTTCATAAAACTTGTCCTCGGTCTGGACCTTCAGGGTGAGCTCACACCTAAACTCCCAGACTCTGAATACAGGTGTGAGGACTTGCTTTTATTAACTGATTTCTATTTGATATCTTCATTTTATATGATTTCGTAATTTTTTTTGTCTGTGTGCAACATGTAAATAAGACAAGTGTTTATTATGTTTTATACTTCTGCAAGCAGCCAGTTGTTTGTGTCATTTAACAGACAAAGTCAGGATTTCCAGTGTCTGGTATGAACTGAATGGTAAGGAGGCAAAGTGAAATGCCCTAATTGCTTAATTTTGCCTTAACAAAGCTGGTGGTGCTAGGCTGGGACAGAGGAGCCGAAGAAGCAGAACAGAAACTTCAGCATCCATGGTCATGTTGTAATTTTAACACGTGGGTAAAATAGAGATTCAAATGGTTTCAAGTATTTGAACAGCCTCAGGAGCACTTGATTTAATTAAACTTTCCTGGTACTTGAATAGCCCAAAAACAAACTTAAACAAACAAACCTTAAACTGGTCATTTAACATAAACCAAGTGGTCCTTGTTTATTTGGTGGAGTCGATTTATTCATTCAGTTATTTACATGTCAAAGTCACAGTCTTTGAGTACAAACTTGTCTCTTGGTGTTTTTCCTTGCTAGGCCACGTCAGCATAACATGTCGGGGTAGTTGTTTCGTGTCAGAACTGGCTCATTACCAACTTAAACTGCTATTTACCTGCTGTACAGACATGAACTGTATCTGGCTAGCAATGAAAGCACCAACCCTGTGTGTGTTGAAGGAGAAGTCACCAGGCAAACCAGTTCTTTCTGTTATTTTCCTCCAAACTTTCCTGTTATTTTCCTCTCGTCTCTGTGTGTTTATGAAGTAGACTCAAAGCTCTGGGATAAGTGCTTTTTTTTTTTTTTGTTCAATTTGAACCACAAGCTCATATTGAAACATCAACTTCTGTTGACATGTCTTCACCCTTCTAATCTCACCCATTTGCATCTTTCCACCGACTTTGTACCTCATCTAAAATTCACTCTGTTCTGTCTGAACACACTTTTACAGTGTGAGAGGACGGCCATTATGATAAGGAGGAGTATTTATAGCATCTGAGTATTGTAATAAGGTAGATTTGAAAAAATCTGAACATATCTTTTAAACCTGAATCTTCATGGTACATTTCACTCTAATCACTAAAAGGTCAAATACTGGGCTTCGTGTATTTTTCCATTTTACTGAGCATTTTGTCACTGAATGCTTCTTGCTGGAGAGACAGTTTGTATTCTGATTTTCAACAGGCTGCCAACATTTTTCTTATAACAGACTGTATTCTGAGATGTTTTTATTTCCACAGTATCTGGATTATGTTATGATATTGGACATCATGGGCTCTATTTTCATGAAAACAGCGGTGGTGTGCAGAGCGCAGTCAAATGCGCCTAGCCCAGTGCACCGAAGCACACTTGGGTACTTTCGTGGCCAGGCGCACCTGCGGCACACTTGGAAACAGGGTGGTATCAGAAAGAAAACATTATAGGTAAACATATTAAATGATAAAACAGTCATGGCCAATCAGATTTTCTACTTTCATTTCCTTTAAACACAGGACTCCCCATTAGTGACACAGTGACCTCAGAGGAAACTTGAAACAAAGTTTCCAAATATGAACACAGCAGTTCAAACATACTGCAGCTGGTGACTCTTTTAAGTTGTATTCACTTTTGAATTCGCTGTGGACATGTGGTCAAGTTTCCAATTCACAATAGGAGATCCATAACCACCTGCAGCTAAATACCATTTTAGTGCCGAATGTACAAGTAGAATTAAAAGTGCGGTCTTGTTTTTTCATGTTGTACTTCTTTTTTTCTGAAATGATTTTTAAAGTTTTAAAGTTGCCCAAATCATTGTTGGGAGTCTGGTACAGAAAAAGTTGTTTGCTTAATTGACATATTGTTATATAAACGTGATCCTGGCAGTGATACACAAATAAATGATGGTTTTTAATTCGGAACCACTATTATAAAATGTAACCCAGACAGTCTCTGTCACGCTGTGTTTGTCGTGGCAGCGACCTGTCTACCTGTAGCCTGTCGTAATAAAAGATGCTCCGGTGATACTTTGGCCAGACTTGTGAAAAATAAAATGAAACATGCGGCCATTGCCCCAGTTACCAAACAGATGAAGGCCCCAGGGGTTGATAAAGGAAACAGACTTTTCAGAGTGAGATAGTAGCAGACAGAGAATTGATAATTGATAAGGGAGACACCAGAAAGGCCTTCAGTGGACTACCTACTAACTGCTGTGGATTACACAGTGCGAGTGGGGGTTATGAGATTTTCAGGGAGGTTTATATGGCTGTGATTTTACTGATAAAGTGATGCTGGATTCTTATCGCCTCAACTTCAAATGCGTTTCTCCTCGCACTGGGGCACATGGCATGACACCGATAAAAAACACCCTCACCTGAGTGTGCCGCAGAAAAATAGCAGTTCATTAGTACACGGACATGAAAACAGACTCCAGTATCTGCAGTATCTACCTGCACATTAGACAGAAATGAGAAATGAGCAGTGACACTGCCCTGTGTGAGAGAACCTGCTGAAGTATCAATCAGATGTTCTGATGAATGCCAGGAAACGCACACGTCTTCTTCAGCCTTTTCAAATAATTTATTGCTGTGTTTGATGACTGTATATGTGACAATACAATACTGCTGTATGTGAAAGTGACACTGTATTCATAGCAATATAGTGAGTGTAATAGGATGAGTATTTTCAATGTCATATAAAAATATGTGCTATCTTTTCTATGAAACAGGAGTGGATTTAAATAGCAGCAGCAGCCTGGACTGAAGCTTCATATATGTTGAAATTGCTTTTATGATTGGAATATTTCATTCACAAGAACACGGTAAAGGAATATCATAAAAATACCAATTCATCCACATTGTAGGTAAATCACTGCCTAAGATTATCACTGGCTGTATCTGAATGATCTGAGAGTAGTGCTGACACAGTACTCGAAATAAGTCAATTGAAAGAAAATTAATATAGATCAATTTGATTACGATTATTACTTTAAATATCATTTACCATCAAAAGTTACAATCCTTAACATTTCATTTCTGGTTGATCTGATGAAAGCTGGTCGTAACAGAAAGTGTGTTTTCATTACACAAGATGAGGAGACATCAGCTTTGGAGCACAACCAATAAAATCATGGACTAATTCATAGTGTCACAATGTTTTAATACAAAAAGCCTGAAGAAGACAGTAAACAATCTCAGTTGTTCTGAACTCTGCAGTGTGTGAAATATCTGCATCGTGTCCAGTGCGTTTAAGCTTCATTTCCTTTAACCACTTGTGCATTGATTCTTAATTTGAAGTCCACCTGAGAAAAGCAGACTCTGCCAGTAACAATAACACGTCTATGTAGAATCAAAATTGAGGAATGCAAATACAGTGAGAGCCTTTTGCTAAAGTATGTGGGCCATAAATCGTATTAAAAACAGTTCCTGATATAATGAACATTTTAAGGATTGTAACTTTAAAGCTTCTCAAATGAGATGTTTTATTTTCTGCTATTTTTTCTACTCTATATCATTATAAATGGAAACGTTGAGATTTTTGGATTGTTGATATGACAAAATCACCTCAAGCCGGGAACACACCCGCCCTGTGGCATGTGCGTGGCAGCTGTGGAATGTCTTGGTTTTCATTTCGACGCCCATGTTAAAGGGTTATAGCGTAGCGGACACACTGCCTGCGTAGGATGCAGGAGATATGCAGCCGGTGTGACAACACACAGGTGCGAGCTGCAGCAGGTCGGCGACGCAGCTGCCACGCACCAGCAATGCAGGCAGTGTGTTCCCGTTGCTCCCGGTGTTGGGCTTTCGACAGAGACAAAGATGAATTGATTAAAAATAAGCGATAGATTACTCGATAATGAAATTGAAATGAAGCCCCTTTAACAGTCGCAGTGTTTCATTCAACAGATTTCAATGGGAGTCAGACTGCTTGTCTGGCCACCCTTAGTGTTAAAAATACAAATTGTTTCACAGTATTTCTAGTACAATCACCTTTTTATGCCAGGGAGACATGGTAGCCATTAACAAAATGACATAAAGCAGACATAAAGACAATCTGTCCTTTTTCACTCTGCTTACATTTTTGGTAATTGATTCAGAGACATTTACATGGGAAAATTCACATTGACTTTTGTGAATGCATTGTTCAGAATAAAGCACAAAACACAGATGATAGACGCTGCATGTCAACAGTCAAAAACAAATATTAAGGCTTCGATATAAAGATATGCAATACTAACCAGCCCATAAAATGGAAACTAAAGTAACTTCATCCGGTATCCTGCACCAGAAATATGTGACTCTGCCACTCAGCACAAAACAATCATGTACCTGGGAAAAGACATTCACAGGTTCAATCCGATGTAGAAGCCCTCTCTGTCCTTTATGCAATCCAGTCCAATGTCAGTTATGTTTCCTGTTCCTCCATCTCGTCTCTTTTAAAGGGGAAGTCGGCGTTTCCTGCTGCAGTGCCAAAGTCCAGCACTTGCAAGTTGGACAGGTGTGCGAAAGAGCTTTCATCCACAGAGTCCACAGACAGGCGGTTAAACCTTTAAAGGGAAGAACGCGAGACAAGTATGTGAAGTGTTTTTTCCATATTTGACAGTGGATCAAAATAGCCATTTGATGACTGTTTTTTGAGAAACTAAAAGCAAAAATCCTTGCAGAGGAGATGGTGACATTTACAAATCAGGAGAAGCATCTGACAGCTTCTCTCCACTTAGGAAGCAGTATAGCAGGAGCCATCTGTTGAGCATATATGCCACACTGAACAGGTGCACACTCACTTCACATCAAAGAACTTCTGAAGATACCTTGAATCAACTGCATCTACTCTTATCTATCAGTGAGAATGCTTGCATATGTTGCCCATGAACTTAAAAAGCTAGACAACATTGCAATTCACATGAACATGCAATTAGAAATAAACACACTCAAACACACACAGTTAAATCCTCCCTCCACTTTCCCAAGTGATGCATTCAAGTGGCTCTAAATTGGCTCAGGCCAAAAGCTCCCAGCTGTATAGGAAATTTTGTGAAAAAGAAATGTGGCAGCAGCTGATATGAACAACATGAAGAGCACAACAGCCTGGAAGGGGTCAAGGCCCGTAAACACGAGCCATAAAGCAGCTACATTGGGGTCAGACAGGAAGCCAAACAGAACAAAAGCCTTGAGAGCGCTTGTTCAAAACCTCTTCACTCTGCTGTCTGAATGCTGCTTTCAGCTGCAGCACATGTGGGTATAAGCCTGCACTATGTGGAATAAACCAAAGTGGAAAATTTGCTGAATGCACACAAGTAAGAGGAGATGGAGAGATTAGATACCACACCACAGTACTCTGCAAAATGAAGCTCAGTCAGACGTCTGTCCAACACACAGTAAATTTAGTGGATTAGTAACAGGCTAAAACCACAAGGTTCACTGTTATGAGTTTAAACTGTGGTGTTAAAAGGGTCTGGAAATGTAAAACTAACCTGAATAGCTTAAATACCTCAGAATCTCAGTTTGTACTCAAAACTCTAAATGACTAGTTTGACATTTTGGAAAATGTGCTTTCCTGTCAAGACTTGGATACGAAGACTGATACCAGTCTCATATCTTTACAGTAAATATAAAGCTACAGCAAGCAGCAGGCATGCTTAGGAAGACACTGAAAATAGAAATAATCTGGCACATAACCCCCGGAAAACCACAAAGTGGCACTTTTACTCTTCACTTTTTGTATGGATTACACAAACAAGATGTAACATGTTACTTGTTGCGCTTTAAAGGTGGTGGTAGGCAGATTTTCTTACTATTGGACAGAACCAGGCTAGCTGTTTCCCCCTTTTTCTTTGTGCTGAACTAAGATAACCAGCTGCTGGCTTAAGCTTCAGATATGCAGTACGTAATCTTATTTCCCAAAATGTCAAACTATTTCTTTAAATTTAAAGTTATGCATTGTGAATTAGATTTTACCTCAGACACTTTACCAAGAGTAAAAAAATACAGAGATCCAAAACACTGTTGTACATCCACCCGACTGTAGCTGTCCTTTGGTGTAGTAAATAACCATAGAGGGTGAAATACAAGCATTTAACGCCTGTTCACTTCTTATAAGGAAAGAAAATCCAGGACTGACTATTAGCATCAACATGAATGAGACTAAGAAAGGGTTTGTGTGTCACTTACCGGAGGAAGATGCCTTTGATGTTCGGAGTGCCTTCAAATGCTGAAGCAGGAACAGTGGAGATGCGATTACTTTGCAGGTAAAGGTACTCCAGAGACTCAGGTAGGTCAGAGGGGATGTGTGACAGCTGGTTGCCAGACAGATCTAATGTCTAAAATTACAAGATAAATATAATGAACAACATTAAACATTTTCACTGATCTATGTGATACATTTTTGTAAAATAACAAGCAATATACAAAATTATGCTTTATACTGTATGTGTAACTAAGAGCCCTTTTGCACTGCAGGAAACAGAGAACCAAACAATGTGTAGTCAGTGTCATAGGTTCTGCTTTTGCTTTGAATTCCTACATTTTGGCTGTACCCAGAACATGACAGACAAATCTTTTCTAGTGAGACTTTTTTGAGTTCAGGGTGTGCCAGGTCTGCACTGTTATAGCCCCAGTTTGTGCCTCTTACATGTTAGCACACAATCGAGAATCGAGGTGACCATCGGTTTCTCTGAAAGATCACTCAAGTTCTGTGTGACAAAGCAGTGCAGGTGGTGGCTGCCTTATAAGTTTTTCTCTCGGGGTTTATCATAGCTGTATGCATTTGCGGCTGAGATCGTTCAGTACTGCAGACGTGTATACTTTACTTGACCGGACTCAGCTCGGCTGCTTCTGATACTTCTCGCACATTCTAAATGCTGCCTAAGATCGCCAAATAAGGCATAAATTACTTCTACTCACTAGCAAAGAATCTTTGTGAATATTTGGTGCCTCTTACACATAAAACTCAGAAGTTCCTAATCTCAAAAATTCGGTAGACGGGATAATCCTCTCCTCTTCAGTGCTGTCTATCTTGATTGGTCAAGCATATTTTTCATCATATCAAAGACAATTATGGCAAGCTTATTGTGAAAAAAATTAAAAGATTAAACACGATTACAGAAAATTACAAGATCAGAGTGTTTGTGATGCAGCAAACTAAAGTACGACAAAGGGGTTTGATGAGACCTGGAGGTTGCTTTGGGCCACCAGCCACAGCAGGTCCTTGGATTCAACCTTGGTGTTGTATCTTATGTTCACAAAAATTTGAAAGAAAGATGTCTATAAACTTTAATAATACCACCACCACTGCTACTACTGTTGTCTGTGCCAGAACCACTTCAGTTGATTAAAATCATTTAGGTCAGTCTCACTTTTGCCCTTTCAATGGTAAACGTCTTAGTTTCTAAAATACAGTGAAAACACATGGTAGAACCTAGAGTCAAAGCCTCATAAAGTTCTTAAATGGTCAGGCTATGAAAATATGTTAGAGGCTGTAAGGTCACGAAATGGACAAGGGCTAAAAAAAAAAAAAAAAAAAAAAAAAGTCCTAGAAGCACTAGTATCTGATCTATGTATCTCCCAGACACTCACTGCGAGTGCACTGAGCTCCATCCAGGCTCCCTGGTAGACTGAGTTCAGTTTCAGCTCGTTGTCACTCAGGATGAGCTTTCGTAGTTTCTCCATGCCTGTAAGCGCACCGTCCGGTATGGAGTTGAGCTGGTTGTTCTTGATTTCGAGGATGTGCAGGCTGCGAGGAAGACCCAGAGGCATGGAGTGAAGGTTGTTCCCCGACATATCCAGTTTTTCCAATATACGCAGCTTCCTGAAGGCCTCGCGGTGCACTTTCGGACTGGTCAGCTTGTTGTAGCTGAGGTTGAGCTCCGTCAGGGTGTACAATAGGATCAGGTCATTACGACCAATCTCGGAAATGGAGTTGTGGAGCAGCATTAGGGTCTTGGCCCGTCGAGGCAAGCCCCTGGGAACCCGCTCCAGCAAATTGTTGTACATGTGTAGAGTATGCAGCTTCTTCAAACCCTAGTGAAAATGCAAATTAGAGATTTAACAGGTGATCTATTTTATGCAGATCAAAATATCAAATGCAAAGCAGCTGAGCATATAATTTCTCCTGTTCTTTCATGTGTCCTTGGAGATGAAAATGCTAAATAGAATCTTCATGCCTTTTACATGAGTCTGCTTTTCTATAAAAGATCTAAAAGAGTATGAAATGAAAAAGAAATGCACCTGAAAAGCAGCTGGGTGGATGGAACGTGAGCGGAGCTTGTTATTGTGCAGGAGCAGGTACTCAAGGTTTCGGACAGAGGTAAGAGCATCTCCAGGGATGCTGCGGATGGCGTTCTTCTCCAGGTGTAGGAGCACTAGACTGCGAGGCAGACCCTTGGGAACAATGCTCAGGTTGTTATTCGACAAATCCAGGCACTCCAGACTGCTCAGCTGGCTACCAGAAGAGGAGGAGAGGAAGTCATGAAATTATTTCTCTGATCCTGGACTATGCTACTTTCTCTTTGCTGCTGCAACACAAGATTTCACACACAAATCTGTGTATAATACAGGCTTTGCACTTGGCAATGCCATTAACATAGAATATGTTAACCACTGGTGGTGTGTGAGTGATGATTTTGTCCACCTGAAAGTCTCGTTGTCCATGCCCTCATTGCTGAGGAGGTTGTTCTGGAGATACAACTCTCTGAGGTTTGACAAGTTGTCAAACGCTCCCGCTGGGATTTTCTCCAACTTGTTACTCTGTAACGACAGCACTGGTCCTTATGCTATCATCATTACCATATTCATGGATGAAAAGAAACAGATGTATGTCCTCTGCCTAAAATCTAACTGCAAACTTAAGCAGAAAGGGCACTGTAGTATCTTAGCAGATCATCCACTCTCAGGGTATTATGTGTTGTTACAGCTGCTGTACCTTGAGATGAAGACGGTAAAGGTTGGAGGGTAGGCTCTTGGGTACAACACGCAGGAAGTTGCTGGACATGGTAAGGATCTCCAGATTGTTAGAAGCATTGAACATGTTATCAGGAAGTCCTGCATCAGTCAGCTTGTTGTTATGAAGATACACAGACCTGGGAGCCATGATCAAAGGATAGTGCTATGAGTAAATGGACATAATTCCAGCAAAAAAGGATAAATTTACACACACATTCATACCTCAGTTTTGGTTTATGGCCAAACGTATATGGGTAGATCCTTACAAGCTGATTAGCAGCAAAATCAGCACTAACCAAAGAGGGTGGTAGGACCTTTGGTGCAGAGGTAAGCTGCAAGCACAAGAAAAGAAGCATTGTCCTGTTATAGTCTGTGGTTTGCATTCTCTCTCCTGCCAAAAGTAAAGTTTTATTTCAACTATTACCACAATCTTTCCCTCAGTTTGAACAAGTATTTTAGCCATGCTAGTGGTGGGTCAATGTTCATCAGTTGGCCACTCATTCAGTGAGACCACCACTTTGGTCAAGAGTGAAGTATCTAGACAAAAACTTCCAAGATATTCATGGTTACAAATGACTTTGGTGATTCTTTGGTGATTACCTGACTTTTCGGCTAATGCCATCATGAGGGTTGACATTTTTGGTTTTATATGAAATGTCTAGAAAGCTACTACCGTGTCTTTTGGATGGATTTACACTAAATTTGGTACAGACATGCATAGTTCCCAGAAAATGTACCCTAAAACTGATTTCCTGATTTTCCTCTAGGGTCACATTATTTGTTCAGAGTGAGATTTGGTTCAGACATTCAGTGTCCCCTAAAGATGAATTATAAACACTTCTAGTGTCACCACGTCAAAATGATGATGTCCAAATACTGTACCTACAAAACTAATGTTCATGGCATCAGCTATACCTTGTGTTTAGTGCCGATTAGCAAATGCTAGTATGCTAACAGGCTGAACTAAGATGGTGATCATGGTAAACATTATTGCTGGGAATCTGAAATTGCCATAACATTGTCATTGTGACCATGTTAGCATGCTAATGTTAGCATTTATCTCAAAGCAGATAACCTCACAGAACAGCTGGTGTAGCTGTAAACTCTTAAGGACTGTGCCATCAGGGCAAGCAAGGCAAGCAGTGCTTGACCAGTTAAAGCTAAAAGTATACATCAATTAGAATGATACTGAAGTGGAAGTGATATCTCTCCTTACATCAGATCTCAGGGCAGCGTTTTAATTTACTGCCCTCTTGTGGCAACTGCATTTTTTTGGATGTTTGCACATGCACAATGAGGATAATCCTCGGATCTTTGACGGGTGTCTAAGTATAGCCAAAGTGTGCTTGACTCAACTTCCACCATTCTGAGATCAGTTATATCATGTATCAAACACATGCGCAGATGTGCGTGGAAACTAAACAAAACTAGAAAATGATTTATCAGTCTTTTCTTCCTAAACACTAAGAGGCAGCAGCAGCAAGTAGACAAGCAAATTACACTGATTTTTAATCTCCGCAAGATCTGTAGTAAGATTGAGAAGTCTGAGACAGCACATTGTTACACAAGTGGTGAAGTATACCTCAGTACATAGGTTGTGTGCATAGCGGGTGAGAAAGAGAGAGCGAGCGAGAGAGAGAGAGAGATGAGGCTGGCTGGCCACCACGCACGCACGCACTGTCAGAGCAAAACACAAAACACTTAACACTGATTTTGAGGGTGAGCAGATGGCGACTACATCCTAGTCTTCTTTTCTGTGACTATAAATACTGTTTGTCTGATCAAACAGGGATGGGTTTTTTTTTTTTTTTAACCTGAATGATGACTCTCTCCACTGTTGTGTTGAACTGTCAGCCAGGTGGTATGCTTATCTTATCAGACAGCAGGTCCAGGTGATGGGATCAAGCAGCTCTGGTGGCCCTTTTTGTTTGTTTTTTCAAACATGCATAATTTCAAACTTCATAACCTCAACCAAGTTGTTCTGGTAGCCTAAATTCAACAAAACCATGGGGATGGCAGATCAGAAAATGTTCAGTGAATAGTTTTTGTGATGGTCATGGATGGGTTTGTTTTGAAACCCAATGATACACTACTTATTTATAACTGAAGATTTGTTGGATTTTTTTCCACCACTTCAAATGTTTGCCTTTGTACAGCTTGTCCGTCCCCTTCAAAGAACTGGGCACTACAGAGCAAAAACGTTGTAGGCAAGCTGTGTACCCCTTCATATATCAGCATAGTTCACCACAACTAGAGCTTTACTGTACAAAATAGCAGAGGGTATAGAAATCCGAGAAGCACTGGTGAGATTAGATGTTCATTTAGAGCTCTCTCCTTTATAATATGGTTTATGGATTAAAGCAGCATGGGTGTCTTTGAGGCTTAGTGAGCACTTAAAAATCCCCTATTCTTCCTGTATGCTGTTTGCCTATTCATCTCAGTGAAGGCACAAATCTCTCCATCTTTTCTCTCTTCCTCTGCGTCCAAAAGGGTCAGTAACATTTTAGCTCTGACCAGCTGGCACAGCCATACTGGAAGTCATTATAAGCATAAGCTCGCATAGTGTATGAGAAGAGACTGCCACCTCTCTTTGCCAGCTGGCACTATATCAGTGTATCAAAATAGAATAGAATAGAATAGAATAGAATAATAAAGAGATGAACATGTAAAAGATGAACTTGCTGTTGCATTATGTAAGCATCAGTGGCGTGCCGTCAGGGCAAGCAAGGCGAACAGTGCTTGACCAGTTAAAGCTGAATATGGACATCATTTAGAACGATACCAAAGTGGAAGCGATCTCTCTCCTTACATCTGATCTCATAACAGCGTTCTGTCCCATAAAGGATCTGATTCTTGTTTACATCCATCATGTAATTTACTGCCCACTTGTGGCAACAGCAGGCTATTGTCTCTGGGAGTTAGCTTGACTACCAGCCGTTGTAGTTTCTATCATTTGCATGACTGTGACCGTGTCCCATTGATAAAGGCTGGGGCTTGTCGAGCAGGAAGGGGAGCTGCATTTTCTTTTTGGAGGTTTGTGCATGCACATTGAGGATAATCCTGGGATCTTTGTGGGCCACTAGCTTTAGCCAAAGCGTGCTGGTCAAGCTGTCCTTGACTTAGCTTCTACTGTTCTGAGATCACTTACGATATTGCATGCATTACACGCATCCGTGTGTGGAAACTAAACTTGTGCATTAAGTGATAAGAGGCAGAAGAGGCAAGTTAAGTTTGAGAAGTTTGAGGGTTAACTTTGGAATACATCTCAATCCTGGACCTACAAAAGTGGGACATTTTGCAAAAGTAACCTGAAATAAAATTCAGAAAGGACAGAGGTATCAGCATCAATTACCAAAACTAACTGAAGAAATATGTTTTGAATCAAAACAACTAGCTAACTGTGTAGCTAGCTAGCCTGCTGTCTTCAGCCAGGAAGGAGCACAGAAAGGTGAACATGTCCAGGCAGAGTGTAGCAAGATGGAGGAGAGAAACTTTCAGCACAGGAAAGACAAGCAGCACAGACAGGACAGGGCTTGAATTTAAGAAAACTTTGCTACTGCTACTGTAGGTATGTTTTGGTCAGGTCCATATTTTTCTCGGTGCTGTACTAAATGGTGGATTTTGGAGGTGGTGTGAGTGTCTGGTTGGGGTGAGGTGGTGGTAGGTGTGGGGGGGGGGCGGGGGGGGCGGGGGGGGTGGTGTTTGTTTGGCACAGCTTTCCTTTCTGTAAATGGTAAGTAGAGAGAACAAACATTTGAAAGTCTGGTAAATGACTCACCTTGTTATTTGCCAAGTATAAATAGGCCAGCTGTTCGAGCATCTCAAAACCTTCATCTTCAAGGCCTGCAAACAGAAAAGCATACTGCATTCCTAATCAATATGTTTAAGCACACATCACCAGCCAAAATATAATTATATGTACACATAGTAGGCAGTTCAAGAAAAACTACACCAATTTTACATATTGTAAATTGGTAGTTTGTAGTGGGACTACTAGGGACTAGGGAAACAGACAGATAGATACTTTATTTATCCCCTAGGGGAAATTCATGATATGTGGAGAGCTAAAGGAAATTCAAACAGGTAAATTTACATACTGTAGGTTACTTAACAGTAAAAGCTCGAAAGGCCCAACACACTTCTTCAGTGAAGGTGGAAATTATGCAACACTTTGTTGATTCGATTTGTTTTATTCACTTCAATGATTCTTAGTCATTATGTGGTTTGTTAATTTTTTTCTAAGCTCTGGGGTAATATTTTGGTAAGTCGACTCTAAACCATGCCTCTTACCCAATGTCAGCTGGGATTGATTGGTATACAATCTCATCATATCATTTTACCTCACATACAATCTATCCTATTACAACAAAATGTTTGAGTCACAATGATATGGGAAGCTACAGTTAGGGCTTTAGCAAACCAGCAGTCACCACAGCTGTCCAGAAATACACAGAGCTGAATCTGTTCATCTTGGCATTCTTGATTAGCCACAGTGACAATGACCAACTGGCATTCAGCCACTAGCAGGAACAATACAGGCTTAATCAGAAGGTTACCATGACACGGGTTTTGCTTGTTATGTGGCTATTCTAGCTATGCTATCTAATATGTGGATATAACTTGTGTCATCTGAACCTCCCAAACTCACAGGGTTTAGCCCTCATACAGCTGTTGTGGACTTGCAATGTTGTTTGCAAGCATTAGCAATTCAGAACTTTGCTTTCTGCCTTTTCAAGTGAAATCATTTTGCAGACACTGGGACTATTACAAGATAACAGTAAATGCTACAATATAGAGTAAAAATAATGCAAGTAGAGTTATAAAATCAATCAGTTACGCAGCAATATCAAACAAAAGTTAACTAGCACTAGCTACTATAAACTACGGGTCTCACCAGATAGTCTGTAACAGCAAAACCTCTGCTTCTATTTCTCAAACTAAAATTATTCCAAATTGATCTTTTGAGGCTCTGACTTGGTACGGTGCAAGGCAGCACAGACCCACAGATGAGCACGACAATCAGAAATCCAACGGTCCTGTTTGTCCCACAAAAAAACAACCTTGTGAACACGTCTTCAATATCCTCATCTGCTCTATGCTAGATTCCTGCTAGGTGTTTACTTGTGTTAAGTGTTTACCATCTGTGGTGAGCCAGTTGTTCTGAAGGTTGAGAGTCTCGAGCTGATGCAGGTGGGAAATGTGCTCCACTGTTATCTCCTCAATTTTGTTGTTCTGGTATCAAGAGACAAAACACAGACAGAAAATACAGGAGTTTTGCACTGATAACTCTATATAACCCTATTTTCTGAGCTGAATTACAAAATATAGATGTGTATTATGTACATGGCTCAATCCCATTTCACCCCTTGCCCCTACCACTTAGCCCTAGCCCTCTGTTTTGTGCGGTCACGTTTAGGCGTAGGGTGTCCTGATTCTTGTTGAGTTGGAGGGGTAGGGTGAAGTGTAAGGGCTAACTGGCCCTTCAAACCAAGATTTTTCAGGGGCACACTTCAAACAGAGTGTTATGAGATATTTCCCCAAATGCTTTGCGAATCACCGGCAAGATTGTTGCGTAACCGATCCAAGCGACCAAGGAAACAAACAAATTAAATTTTCTCCGTTAATAAAGATTTAAAAATTACGACAACCATTGTATTGTCTTAGATTAATGTTGTTTCAATGACTTATGGTCCTCTTCTTCATAAAAGCCACAAAAATGCTGCACTCCAACCCCATTTGATGGCATCCAGCAGCGAGTTTGCTGAACTTTACCGCTTCCATTTCAGTGCAGACTGTCATGGCTGCCTACAGAGCATCACTAACAATAGCCTGGTAATATAGCAGTGTTTTTTCTTTCTTTTTCAAATGATCGATGAAATTGAAGTTGTGAAAGAATCACATTTGTCCGTGATTTTCACATTTTGAGGGCATGTTGAATCTCCGGCAAAAACACGTTGCGTCTGCTCATGTGAAAACCATCGGAGACTACTGATGATGTATCGCGTTCTTAAAGGGGTGTCCCAGAGTAGAGGCATATTTCAACCATTACCCCTTGTAACTCAGTTCCAAGGGGCAGGGGGCAAGTGGTAGGGGTAAAAATTAGAAATGGGATTGGGCCTATGTCTATGTGTGTGTGAAAGACCTGTAGAGAGAGCTGGCGGGTTTTATCAGACAACTCAGGGGGGAACTCGGTGAGGTCAACTCCAGCACAGTCCACTGCCCCCTCTGCTGTACAGCTACACTCTGGCGGACATAGGACCAGATGAGATTTCGTCACCGCTGTTGTGATGTTGGTCTCCTCTCCCTCCTCCTCTTCCACTGGTTCAAGGGGGGCTTGGCAACGCACCAAAACCGAGGCCAAGAGCAGCACACTCAGGGCCCGTAGGATGGAATGCTTGGGAAAGGCCATGTCCACTGCTGAGCTCTCCTGTTGCAAAAGCACACGGACAATAAAGTTAAAAAATCACGTCATGGAGTATTTTTCTCTTGGGAACAGGGGCTTATAAAAGCTGCAATTTACTACTCTTTGGACATTTGAAGCAGTAGCCAGTGAATTTTTTATACTTTGGGACTTTCTTAATTGAGTGTATGCAGTTATAGTGGTGGGTGAGTGAGAAGCACCACTGATGGGCTTTCATATAAAATTGTGCAAGTGGCATCTTTCTGTCAGTCACTGCTCCACAGCTTCTGGTGTGAGAAGGTGCGCGTCCTGCAAGTCAGTCATTCATGACTAACTCAGCCTGTTTTTTTACTACCTGCAAATTGCAGGTATTAACACTGACATATCATCACCTTGTGAACAAGTTCATCAGTGCTGTGGTTGAAAATGACTGACGAGTGATAGTGAACGGAAATAAACTTTTGGGCCTTAAAAACAAAACAATGAGCTGAAAGAGGCTAAAGTACAAGTGAAGTGAGAGGAACTGCAGTTTATGAGTTAGTGATAATTCTCTCTGGGTTCATCTCTATAGGTGACATCCTTTTGATAATGCAATTACAGCTACCTTAAGGTAATGAAATTCGGAATGCGGGAAGCTTTCTACAAATAAGATCATTTGATGAATTTCCTCAAGTTCAAATCTTATACTAGGTATGATTTTATAAAGGCGTCAAGTGTCAAATGTAGTTGTGTAATTTCAATGAACAGATGTCACATCTGCCTCAGTTGATTTTTGATGGCAGAAAAAGTGTAACTGAAACTGTCAGGTCGATATATTGACCAGTAACTACATGGACATGGATTAAGTTTGTTTGTAATTTAAACAGGTGAGCCACCTGTTCACTCACCTGAAGCTATAGTCACACACTCATTCATGAAGATAGAGATAGATCCAACTTAGCGCACAGCTACATTTCAAACTCTGCAAGTTCCTTTTGCTGAACATGATCTAAACCGCAGCAAAGCTAGACAGACGCGTAGAGACACACTAAACCCAATATGTTTAGAGAAGAGCTGACGTAGAACAAACTGTATACTGGTATAAACTATATCTGTATAAGAGATTCAGAGAATTGTCAAAGCTCAAAGCCATGTCAGTAAATCTAGAGAGTAAAATTCAGCTACAAATGTGACCCTTTTTTTTCTCTCAAGTGTGCCAATTTTATGGAAGTGCAATGCTAAAGGACTGGAGTACCCTTTCAAAGAGAGGAAAACACATGTAGCTATCTGCCTACCAGTTTCATTTACACTATGGACAAGGACTGCATCATTTCATTTCAAATCTTTTCAATCTGCCAACCTTAATCTCTCCCTGCGGTGCCATTTCTAACTGGTGTATGGAAAAAAATAGTATCCTTACATCTAAATATGAATTCAACTGATGGAGGATTTGCATCATTTACGCACCAGGCCAACAACAAAAGACAGTCGTCTCTCTGCTCCTTCTCTCTGCTGTGTCTGAAGCTTCAGTCTTCACCAACTGCAAGGGCTAATTTGAAAAAAGAAAATAAGCATCACCCTGGCAGCTTGCTCTGTTTGCTTTCCAAACATTTCACACACATGCCTTCAGAAAAATCAGATCTACAGTTTTAAATTAAATCAAAATAATGTGAATCTAGCCTTCTGCAATCGTCTGAGCAGTGTTTGTATGACGCTAGTCTTTTGCAATGCCCTGAAAAAGCCCTCTAATCATTTCCACCAATGTTGATAGAAATATTCCAAGTGGGCACTCAGGGCAGCTCTCAAGGCAAAAGTCTAAAAGCCATCCATCAGAGGAGCCTTCTCTGCTTGTCGCACAACAGCTACCAGAGGGACTGTGGCAAACACACACACACGCACGCACGCACGCACACACACACACACAAGTGGATGCACACAGCAGCAGAAAATCCACACAGCAGCATGCACACACCCACAGCAAATGAAAAATAAAAGCCTGTGCACTTGCCTGCACTTATTGCACAATGTCAACCCTGGCTAGAATGAAAACATCATAGCATCCAGGGGTCAGAGAGGATTTTACAGCCTTCACTAAGTCAACAACAATCTCGTGTTACCTTATTATTTAAGGGCTTGAAGGGAAAATACACTGAGTATCTTAAAAGTCATCATATTGTTTTCATTTTGTTCTACTCTTTCTCAGCTGAGCAGAGGTTGTGAGGTGGCTATGCTGCACTGTTAAATAGTCCGGATCATCATGCCAGAAATGTCATGCATGGATGAATGACGCCGACACTTTAAGCTCAACTCCATATAACATTGCAGCCATCTGTAAAACATGCAGCAGTAAAGTCTGCAAAAGCAACGTTCTGGTCTACTACTGTACTTTACCCGTTTCCAACGATGTTTGCTGAAATGCACTGAAGTCTGACGTCCAGTCCAAACACAGGCTGTCCCATAGCAGGCGAGGAGTCACACAGCCGCACCAGATACCCTCCAGATGTGAGAGAGAAGTGGGAGTGGGAGAGAAAGTTAGAAGAAAGAAAGGAAAGAGAACAGGCGAGAGTGAAAAGGAAGGGAGTGAGTAAGAGAGACAGCTCTGACCTGACTGGGAGCCAAAAACAAATTCTTTCCTTTTTTTCTCATATTTTTTTCCCAAGTATTGATTTTTTTCCCCCTCAATGTAGCTGGTCTTTCCAGTTTAAATGAAATGAGTTTGAGCTGTGATAGCTTGGTTTGGTAAAATTTCCTCTACATGCAACAAAACTTTTCCAACCTACATGATTCATCTGAGATGATAAACATTCTGCAGACTTGGGACAAGAAACACTTGGATGCACTTAAAGACCACATCCCTTCAAACAGAAAGGGTGGCTGTGTCTTGAATGTTCAAAAATTAAAACAGCTAAAAAACACTCTTGTTCTCCAGAAGATACTGAATCTTAAACATCTGTAGTGCAGATTATTGAGCTATAGAGTTAAAATATGTTCTGAGATACCTTTCATTTGGGGAAGACACATGAGTCATCCTAAACACTCTTATAATAAAGTAAGAAGTGGAAGAGTAGCCTGCCAAAAAGAGGTGTCAGCATGTGATCTAATGTCCTACGTGTTTCTGGATTAGGCCTCTTTTTCAACGAGCCCACCTCCCATTAGGCACAGTGTGTGAACATCTGCTACCATTACGATGCATTAGCACAGTTCACTGAACTTCAGATTTACAGGCGGAAGTGTTTTGGGATGATTCATCACCACAAAATGTATTTCACGTGCATTTGTCTCTTTTAGTTTATTTTACTTTTCTGATTCCTTTCTTATCAGCTTCACATTGATAAATAATTAGCCTTATTTCTCATCTTTACTTCCTCAGCTGTTTTTTGTATGTAAGGCATTCGAATAAAACAGCTTAAAAAAACAGAGGACATGCACACTTCCCTACAGAATCTAAACATATTAACTCCAAGGTACTATAGAGTATTAATAATATTTTTGATGTGTATTTTAACCATCTAAAAATTGTGTGGAAGAAATGTTGTAACTTTACCATTATACTTCAACATTTCGGGAAAGTTAGATGAGAAGATAAATATCCCTCATGTGGCTGTAAAGTACATATGAAGCTACAGTCAGCAGCTGGTTAGCTTAGCTTACCGTTATGACTGGAGGGGAGCAGCTAGCTTGGCCAAAGCTAACAAAGCTTACTTGTTAATTAAGTAGTGTCACACGAGAGGGAGTGATGTTGTACTGAGTATCAGCACGGCTGTGGTTCGGTCATAGGTACAAGGCCGAAGGCCGAAGACAATCAATCAGCTAGCTGCTTTATACAACAGTTCCACGAGCGTCATATTAGTTAAATAAGCAGCAACAGATTATGATTTGTTTGTTTATTTTATCATTTATTCGGCTACGCCAACACAAATAATTCCGCAACTGGACTGTTACTGGACTCTTGCTAAGTAACATCCTGACCTGCACAGTGCACACTAGCTTGCTACCTTGTCCACACGTTACCTCAGGTGTGCGCTGAAGTATCCAGGCTTCTTCCCTTCATCCTCTTCTGACGACCATACACAATTTAATTCAAATGTTATTTCTGGAAATATATTCATCTTTGCAAAGTTTGCTACAATCTAAGATAGATAACGACTGTTGTAATGTAACACTGATTAACGGTTAATAGAACACCTGTGAAGCGGAGTGATACATAGTTAAAAGTCCCAGTGCTGTTGTACTCTATATCAGCGCTCATGGAATGACTCTCGTCCAATCAAATTTCTAGGTCGGAACTAACTTTTGTATAACATGTTATATTTTCTGCTATATCTTTGGCCAGGAGCAGTGACTTCAAGATTCCCTCCTTCTTACTACCTAACAATTCAGAGTGACCGACAGGCTAGCTGTTTCCCCCTGTTTTCTGTCTTTATGCTAAGCTATGCTAACCGCCTGGTGGTTATAGCTTTACGGTAACTGTATGGAAATTAGAGAGGTAAGCAGCGGCTCCTAGCTCTCTGACTCTATTTCTTAGTGCAGTACCCTTTTACTTGCAATATTCTTTTGTGTCCTTTTGTCTATTGTGTGTTTTTGCTGCTTGCACTGATCAGGAATAGCTCTCCAAATTTTGTTATATATTTTTTTTTGTACAATGACAATAAAGGCTTTCTATTCTATTAGTCTTCTCAGCAAGAACACAAATAAGCAATAAGCAGTTCCTAAAATGTTAATCAATTTACTGTATTTCTGTGAAAACAGCATGTAAAATTAGCACCCATGCAAAATGAAAATGGTGTCAGAAACATTTGTTCTCAACTGAAAATTATGGTATACAATTTGATGAATTGTTGATATCATATGCACAAAAACACGGTGGACTAAAAAAAATGTTTAGTTGATGGTAAAATACTTTTAATTAATGGTGAAAATTCATCTATTGCATTTTTGTAACATTTCATTTGTTATATGATATTAGGTGGTAAGAGTTGCTATTCAAGTACAGTGACCAGATTAGTTAGAAAAGTTATATATTAGCAACACTGGGACCCTCTCAGGAGCATGTGAATGCAACATCTCTTCCACAGTCCACTGTATTCAATCAATCCAGGTCATTCCCTTGAGTGACAGTTCCTTCCCACCTGATTTTGTTCTTGGTAATAAATCCCTGTGCTCCTCATGTAAAGACACTGGTAATACTTTATGTGTCCCTTATTTTCCAAGAAACCATCTGGTATTTAACAGCTGATTGTCTGGACATTTCATGAAAAGGGCAATGTAATTTGGCACTTAATGAAGGGAAATGGATTGCCATTGTTGAAAAAAGGTTTCTAAGAATCTGTTTTATATTGACATAATAGAAACCTCTGTAGGTTCCTCCATTAGAGATCGGTATGTGAAAATTGCCTAGAGCCAACAATAGTGAAAAAAAAGTGAGAAATTCATTAAGGTCCCTTCAGGGACATCTACACAATCTGCTTATTCATCAGTTATTTCAGCATTTATGTTGTATGAAATTTAAAACTGAGAAAATATTTTCTTTTCATTAACTGGATCTTCTAGAAGTGGCTTCTAGTATTTTTTTCTAAACTGTAGATCTCCCTCTTTCCTTCCTCTTTGTACTGGAACTGCAGCCACCAACTACAGACAAGAATGAAGACAGTTGGAGTGGGGTGGAGGATACTAGGCCGCTTCCGGTTACAGTGAGTCTGATGGGGTTTTTTTGAGCCTCACTCTCTGATCACGTCTGCTGAGCTGCTGTTTTCAGGCCGACAGAGAGACAGACCTCGGTTCGTGGCCTTGAATTCCTTACTGAAACTGGAGAAAACAAGCTCCGGTCCATGTTCTCGTTACTACTCATCGTATTATTTGGCAGACTGTTTTCCCCTAGAGAGGATCTCTGGTCATTTATAAATGTTTCCACTGTTTCAGTAAAGACGTCTTCAAACAACTTTCTCAAAGCAACGGCCGTTCCAACAGACTCATTTTACAACTCTTGTGAACAGGTTGCAGTTTATGTTTTATCTCATTCTACGGGACACATCACAGAACAGCAGGGATTGTGTCTGCCATTATACAGATCAGTAGGGAACCCTTTATTTTTAGGAGAAAATGAAAATTATTTGGTACCTACACTGTTGCCCCTGCTGTGTTTATGTAATAAATGCACAAACAGACCCTGCATGAAGAGTTTTTGTTTACACTTTCTATCAATTAGAGCTGGGATATCGCCTTTTCTTTTTGTCTACATTCTTATAAACTAATCCATTTAATTTTTACTTGAAGAAACCATTTTCCACTGAGCACAGCTCTTAAAAGGGCAGCTCTCTTGCCTCATGTAAAACCAGAACATGAAACAAGGATTCAAGTCCCACCCAGAGTGTGTTTGTAATGTGAAATGTGTCCAATAAAGCCCCATAGCTGCTGGTCTTAGTCATCGCTAACAAACCGACACTGCAAATCACGCAAGTGTGACATTTATTACAGGATGCAGTAAATAGGTTTGTCTACTATAATGTAATCAAGGAAATTCACTTGTTTGTTGTTGCATCAGAGGAGAGAGATTTTTTTTTTTGTTTGGTAATTATTGCTGCACCAGTTCTTCCTCTGCTTCTTCTAAACAAACCCCTGAGTTTTTTTGGAAACGTACAACACAGCACATCTTACAGCAGGTAATTATTTTCCAGGGTAGTAATAATTGGTGAATAACATGATGAATCACTGCTACATTATATAACAGGGTTGTGGTGACATTAGGGCAAGAAGAAACGCAACTTTATATTATTAGAGAGGCATGCCACTGATTTATTATTCCACAAAGTTGAAAGACTTACAAATTAAAGATTTAAAAAAAGAATGGTCAGAATTGATGCAGCTGTGACCGGTGCAATCAGTTCACTGATTAAAAAGTACAAGTAAACTTCTAACATTTATTTATTTCTTTACTATGAACTTTTAAATTAATCAATTATGCTTTTCACATGGAAATTAGAGCAATTAACATTATTCTTCTTGTTAACCATGTTTTGAATATGAGTTTGAAACAAATAGTCCAACATTTCTAATCAAATATAAAATGTTCCATTGCGAAGTAAAAGGGGAGAAATAAGACATTATTACACTTATGAAATCTCATACTCAAAAAGCAGTCATTAGTGACCAATGAAACAACCCCAGTGTGACTACAGAGTAAGACCCACAAAACTACGAGAGCCAAGCCAAAGCTGCAGTGGAATCTGGGTCAGAGCTAGTTAACAGATTTGTCTTTTAGCCACGCTCCTCCATTTACAAAGGAAAAACTACAGCGTGGCAGTCTGGAACCAGGTCGCTGCCGTGTTGGAAAACAGCAAAGTCCTCCAGAATGGGAACATATGTAGGCTCAGCCAACTTGACAGTGACATCCAAGTGCTGTCGCATCTGAACAGAGGCCCGTTATTGTGGAAGGTCACACTAATACAACCTCAAACAGGCCCCTGAATTGTGTGGGAGGTGCATGTTAATATCTTGTGGAGCCAGGAGTGTGTTCATGTGAATTTAATGTCTACAACTCACACTGAATAAACACTGAACCTTATGTTAGGACATCTGGCCAATATTTCCATTTTAACATCCATAAACTCAACATTACCATCATAAGGAGCCTTCATCTTAAACACACAGGGCCAGCATGTTGTTAAATCCATTTTTATGTGCCAGTTAACAGATAAAATGTTCTGGGCTTTTTGTTTGTCTGCAACGTGATTAGAAACATAAAGTCAACGTCAATTAGTCAAGGGTGTGCGCTAAATACTGTTCCTGCTTAAGAAAAACAAACACAAGTGAAGACCACCCCAATGGACCTTGCAGCACAGACAAATTTATTAAGTAGAAATCTTTTGGAGATTAATACAATAATGATACTGCAGCAGAAAATGACACCCCCCTCCACTGAAACGTTGGGTGGCCACAGTGAAAAACATTTTCTGCGTTGTGGGCTGAAAACTTAAAATCTGAGACAAGGAGGCACTTAGACTGTTGTGTCCATGATTGTGGAAAATGACATCAATCTGCTCTACTCAAAACATTTCCAGACATAATACATTTAAAGATTTCATTAGCAACAGGTATTGGAAATTTATTGAAAAGTGGACATGAACTGAATTAGTATCACAAAGTAGGAGCACCTGTCTCTACCCTAGTGTACTGACAGTATAATCGTGAGAGGGCCTGCAGGCAGGGACTTGATTAGAGAATTAAAAAACAATCTATCTTATTCTCCAGTTAGCTTGGCGGGGCTGCTGACTAATCCCCTGTTCAGTCAGTGAGGTCACTAGTAGGAAAAGTGGTTCAGTCCAGTGATGAGAAGGTTCATAACCCTGTAACATTCATCTGAAACCAGACCTGCTGTTAAATTATTTGTGGTTTATTCTATTCAGTGTTCAGAGGTGTAGTTACAGCTAGCTCCAATGTCTCATCTACAGCTTGGCTTTGCCAGGTTGCAGCTGCAGGTTTTGAAGCTTCATGGCCAGTCCCATGTTTCCTGTGATCTTCAGCTTGCCCTGGAAAAACGCCTGCGGATCAGAAAGGGTGAAAAATGTCATCCAGACAGTTCAGGATCTGAAGTGCGGTTCAGTCTGTGTTGGAGAGAACTACTTGCTGCTGGTTTAAAGAGTTACCATGAGAGATTAACTCAACCCAGGGAAAGTGGGGCAACGGCAACAACCGCTTATAAAACTATCAGAAAACTGCACAGCAGCCAGGCACAGTATATGTAGAATTAGAAAAATGTTTGTGGACTGGAATGAAGAAGGAGAACTGAGAAGATAAATCTGATCAAGAGGTAATAACTCAACCACTCTAAGAGTGCAGAAATTCTTTATGACAAATTGAATAACTGAAATTATTTTTTTGCCTTTGTATGAAAAACATGCAAAAAGAAAACCTGTCCGAATTTCAAAATGATGGGGGCTAAATCAGTGGAAAAACTCTTAACTGTTATTGGAGCATTCATTCCTTAACGACACACACACAGTGCAATGATGGCTTTTCTCTAGTTACAGGTAATCACTGTAAATGGCTGTGGACTGACGGTAGAGATGTGTCATCGCATCACTCTCCTCGTACAGATCTGAGTGGGCCTCATGGTTCACTGCTTTTACCCATTACAATTGAGGGTTTGAAAACATTTCTGCACAAAGCATGAAAACAGAGGATGCCAAGAATTTAAAGATGATAAAGATTTAATTCATGCCTAACTGAAAGATTATCTAAATACCTCAAAAAACAGTATGTTTTGGCATCACTGATGTCAAAACTAAACAAAAGGCTATCACTACTATTAAAACTCACTTAATTGACCATTATCATCAATATTTTTGAATGTCACTATGTCTTATGTTATTCCATATTTTTCTTACTGTCAACATATAGCATGAATATACCACAACTAGCAATGCATCAGTCTGTCTCTCAGAACCAGTTTCTGGCTCTCAGCTGACGACTGCAGTTTTTAACAAATGTTACTCAAACAGTAGGAAATTGTGCATTTGTTTGGGGCCCTTTTCAGTGGATGATTAATACATATTTGGTGCGCTGCTGACTATTTCCAGCAACTGAATGATGTATATGGGATTCAGTCAAAATAAACCACAGTGGCTGTGTTTGTGCAAATGAAGGAGGAACATGTCAGTGCAACAGCGTGACTCATTAACGTGTTTTTAATTGTTGTTGGATGACAATGGAGCTCTATGCCACGCAGGAATATAAGATCTACAGGATATATGGATAGATATACTTGTTAGTTGGACCACTTCATTGTTAATCTTTTCATGGGGTTTGCTGACAACAGAGGCTGAAACATCTGTCCTTCTTTCTTTTGCACACCGATCACATTTTATGTTTCTTATTCAGACATGAAATCCCCCTCATTTAATGGTAAGGTCTCTCTCTTTCCAAGGCTTCATGCAGGAAACTGTTTTTATATTTTCATCGTACACAGCTTTGACTTCATGGCCTCTGGTCTGAGGGAGATACATTAGCACAATCGGCCAATAATGACGCAGCAGAGGGTTTCCTCTTAGTGTCAACCTGACACTAACAAAATATCCTGTTAGTACCACATCCAAACTGGCAAACAAATCTGTTCCATGTTGGCCAAGAGTGCTACATGCATACACTGATGCTATTTACACAACACTAAGTCAAAACCTAGTAGGGTATTTACATTCTGCCTATTGTCAGTTGGTTTCAACCCTTTATCTGTTTGCTTCTCTCCTTCTCTCTGTGCTCACATATACATTATTTTAATACAGCAGCTCTGAACTGCTTAAAATCGAGATTTTATAACCACAATGTCATCTGACAACATCACCATACACATAAGTTAAAAACAACAGCGGTTCTGTCATTTCAGCTGTATATTTAAATTATCTCTCACGCTCATTCAAATCAGCTGCCGAGCGGTAAGCATGGGGAGGTGTGCCTGCAGAGGGAAAGCCTGATGTCGTGCTTTTGGGGCAATACTGGCACACCCTCCTCCCCTACTGGTTCCCGGCACTCACTAACCCTAAGCCTAAACCTAAGCCTAAACCAGGGTATGGCAATTGAGGGGGGGGATCAGCCACCACAGTTTTATAATGAACAGAAAATATTTTTATTTTAACTGACCAGTCTGTCATAGTCGGACTGGCTAAAAACAACACGTGTTCATTTGCATAGAGAGTGGGGAAGTGAGATCCGATCACGTGGTCACTTGAGACACATGTGGAGACGCATTTTAATGCCAAGTGTGAACTGATGTGCGTAGAGCTGTCCACTTGTTATCAGATCACCCGAGACAGATGTTAATACCAAGTCTGGACAGGGCCTCTGAGTCAGAATCATTATCGGTACTACGTGCATAGTACCGCATGAGTTCAATCAAAACACACCATGGCTGAATACTCACAGTCTGTGGGTTCATCTTCCCTGTCATTAAGGCCAACAAATCTGTATCCGACATGGAAATGGTGCAGTCTGCTTTCTTATCTGCAGAAAAGAAATATAAAAACCAAATTTAACTCAAAAACATTGGTTTACTAACATGCAGGTATTTAAGGGTATTAAGATACAAAGAAATGCAAAAGTTACATAAAACCACACACTGATGAAGCAGACAAAGTCTGTGCAGGCATTGAACTTCAAACTGCATTTACACCCATAGTTAAATATTAAAATGATTACACGTCACTATAGGTTTCCACTGTCATATGAGACGAAAGAAAGCCCTGATACGGTTTTCTTGGCACTTGAGTTTTCTTACCTGTGTCATTGTGAACACAGCCTTTGCCATTCTTCACGTCCACAAACCAAGTTGCCTCCTGTCCATTCGGGCCATCCTTCACTTTAAAGGCAAACACTCCCCCAATCTTCTTTACAAACTGCTCCCCCTCCTGTTTAAATATACATAGAGTAAACAGTATCTCTATAACATGTAAATTTTGTTTTCACGACCTATACTTACAAGCTCATGGAGTAGTCACTACATGTCTTAGCTGGGCTGTTATGCTACTCAGAAATGGCATCCTTTCATACTTGAGTAACACTACACATGTATTTTCAGCTCACAGTTAATATCTTTATATGAATACAAAGAGGAGTGTCAGGTTCAGAGATATAAGACTGTGGACAGCCTTCAGCTTTAAACTGAAAATGTACAGATTTTCAGAAGTTTCATGAATTTTTCATCCCTTTTGTTTAGCAGTTTGTAATGAATATGTAAAATGTTGACACAGTTCCCATGTTTTGGGTGATGAATACAAGAGGAACTATGTAGCCACAGTGTCAGTCAATTAGCTGTGGGCTACACCCAAGTACTGCTTTTTTAGCCAAAATTTACATTTTTTTCAAATGTGCACCATGCATGAAAATAAAATGAGATGATGATGATTGTGAGGAATGATCTGGAGTTTTTATGATTTCTAAAGATATTTATGAATCTTTATCCCTCATAAACCATCAGAGATACTGGACAATTTATGATTTCAGATACTCAGGTCTGTAAATTAGAAACTCTAATTCTTAATTCTGATTTCCACATTAACTATGCAAAGAAAAATGTTTTAACTGTTCACAAGTGTACAACATGACAAAATTAAATGTACTGTAATGTACTGTACTGAAGAACAGAACACTAAGATATTAAAGATGATCTGTGGAGTTTTTGGCCACTAGTGAGTCCCTGTTTGGTTTGTATTGTGCATGAGTGCAAAGATACATGCAGGTGACACAATAAACATTTCTGCTGATTGATTTCACTTTGTTCCACTGACCTACAGTTGGCAATTGTGTGCCAAGAAACACTGAAATGTGCCCGGAAAAGGCAGGAAAGAAGAAGACTGCAAGCAGGTAAATATGAATGTTAAGAATAAGGAATACCAAATGTAAACAGTAACTTTGATACCAGAAAAATTGACAAACCACCTTTTAATCTGCAGACTATATAGGTTCTTCATTTTACACTCTTCACTCTTCCTCGAGTTACAGATTACTGTTTTTACATCAGTGTTTATGGAAAACACTGATATTTTGGAATATCGCCCTAAATCTGCCCAAAAAAATTGGTATTTGAATAGAAACAGAAAAATCCACTTTCTTATCAACATTTAATAGATATGGAAAACAAAAGTGGGATAAGGGAGTCTCTCACAAAGCTTCACATGCAAAATTTTAAATCTATTTGTCTGATCAGTTGTCTGATATATTAGACTAAACCATGTCTCTAAATATCCAGTCAGCTCCCCTGTTGCCATTTTCTCATTGCTGACAAATCCCACTCATTACATAGACAGCACTGCTAGCATGCTTGAGATGAATATAGTATGATTGGGGTCACACAAAGGTAACTGCTTAAAAACACTGCCTTTTGGGAAGAAACAATTTGTCTGATTGAGTCAACATAAGCTTCAAATTATTTTTGTGGTATGAAATGAGTTTGGGAACTGATCCAAATGTGCCACCATGAGGCTAAAGGCCCATATAACAGTATGGCACAGGCCTAGAAACACTGTATATGACTGAATAGATTGATCCTAAAAGGAAAGGATGAGCATTATTTATACAGAACCACTGACATGTCTGTCAGTATTTAATCACCTCCTGAAGCTTCTTGTCGATTTCCTGGAACACAGCATGTGCCTTGAACCCCTCCAGTCCATCACTAGCACTGGTATTAATGGCTTGAACCCTTAACATCGTGAAGGCAAAGGCATAGAAATGAGAAAAACATACAAACAAAAGAAAGTGATGAAAACAGCAGAAAAAAAGAGTTGGTTGTCAGAGACATTCAATCTGATATTTATATGTTTTGTATGTCTGTGGGAACATGTTTACTCTTTGGAATGGGTCTCATCACTAGAGCTCAGTGTGTGTTCACCCTTGTCAATTTCATATTGTAACATGTGAATACCACCCTCAAGTCACAAACTCTGATGTCCAACATGACACAGTTATCAGTTCCGCGAAAGGATTAGGTTCATCAAAACTGTGTCTTCGATATTTGTCATCCTCATTGCCTGGTTCACAGTCGGTGTATCTCAACACACACCAATCCAAGATGTCACTATCTTTGTGCACCTGTCAGCAATGGATAACACAAAGTGGCAAAACACAACTGCACTGGTAGTAGTGTATTTGTCAAAGTGCAAAGAATGTTGCATAAAAAGATGATGAATGAAACCAAAATAAAACACAGTTGTAATAAAATAACGGTACAATAAATTATAATTGTTAACAAATACTGTTAATAAACAGTTTTAAGTCTTTATATTGGCTTACAACTGCACTGTAATATGTTATGAACAATTTGTTAAATGCTCATATGACGTTAATATTTGAAAATATTAAACAGAGTAACTTACCAAATCAAGGTTTTGTGGAAACTATTGAAACCAGCTACACAATTAGCTATGTGCTAATCATGTTGGAACCAACAGCGGGCTAGCACGCTAGCTAAAGCCTTGTAGAAATGTATGAAAGAGCTAACGTTAGTGGCTTCAGAAAACGTTAACGTAGCCGTTTGTTGGACATTTATTTCGTAGCTAACTTGTGTAACATTGTGTTAACCGGGACAACGAGGGTGACCTCAGTGAATTATTCAAAAACACATAACTCACAATGTGCAAATTATACTGTATACAATTTAGTATTCTTACCTTTGTATCTGTATTTCAGGCATTTTGCTCTGACGTTAGATGAACAAACAAGTGTCTCAGGATTAAACAACCAATAAACCCACAGATCCAGGTTAGCTCGTACTGTGCCTGCTGTTTGCTAACTACACTTCCTTGTTTTTTTCTCTCACTTTCCCGGATCTTCAGACTTGACATGTCGATGTCAGATAGCCCTAATCAACATAACTTTAAAAATAGTCCAGCTCCCTTACAGTCTTACGCACCAGGTAAACTCTAAGCTTTCAGTCTGAATAGTTTATTTAAAGGACCATAGGGCTACCGTGGTTTTAGCCGATTCACTTCCACATACTTTTAATAGGCTACATAACATACGCGACTAACTATTCTGCAAACCATGCGTCTGTGTTTTAGATTGTTGAATGTATCCCATTGCATTTCTAGACAGCCATTTGTTTCGGTTCATCTCAAATCAAGGAGCAACTCTTCAAAGCTGCTCGGCTTGTTGTAATCCATCACAGTAAACACCAACAGCAGGATGATTTAGACGTAATTGAAGACTTTTCAAACCAATCCTGCACTACAACTGGATTACCACCTAATCATAATGTGAACCTGACAAAAAAAAAATCATGTTTACTGTGATCATTACACAATTCAAGTAATTGTGTAATTCAGTACTGATTTTAAGCAGAAAATGCAAGTATAATTTGTATTGAAGGAACTGGAACTATCAAACACACTGGTCCTTACAGATATCTGAGAAGATCCAAGTCTGTGTACATTTTGGATACTGATTTAATTTCTGTGGTAATTTCAGAGCCATAAATATGAACCTAGCAATTTGTGAAATTACCCATGGCTGTATATGGTAGCCTATATAGCCCCCTTCAAAAAGGTGAAAATGTTAGAGTTTAATGTGTTTTCTGTCTTTATAAGTGTTGTAACATAACATTTGTATTGCTGTCCTGGCTTTTACAGTGTAAATTTTGGACAACCAGGGCTGACCCAGGCATGTCCCATCAAATAAATATTTCATCACAGACAAATAACTGATACAAAAACATATACCTGTAAATTGTTACCATAATATCCCTATAATCACTATAAATGATACAGAAAAAGTCCCATTTCATCAAGGAGTGGGAGAGAATCCACATCTGAAGGTTTTCCTCATCCATGAATGTGATGAGAAGATTGTCATGGTTGTTAAAGAGGATTTTGTCTTTTTTAAGTTAAGTTGTTAAGTCTGGGATACTGTACCTTCAATTTAAGCATGATAGTCACTGAGAAATCAGATGTTGTTGTAGCAAGAGACAAGTGTACATGTCAACATGTGCATAACAGTTTTGTTGTAATGTCAAGGATAATGTAATGTTGAAGGCACACTGTTTGATGGGAATAACTGGTGGATGTCATATAATTACAGCCACACAAGAGACAATTTATGCATGAAGGATTCTGTTATCTACATACTATGCACAGAGGGAAGGTCAGAAAATGACACTACATTTAATGTAGACAGCATGAATGGAGGCAAACATCAGAGAATTTGAACTATCGTCCTCAATGCTTAAAGCAGGAGGATGAGGAGGGTGAGGAGGGTGAGGAGGATGGGGGAGTGCGGAGTAAGGCTGCTTCAGGTAGTAGCGGAGGCTGGTGTGGTGGTGGAGGGATTGAGGCCAAGTACCCAGCTCACAATGGCTTGACCACTCTTTCACCCATCAGAAAAGACAGGCTGCATGCTTGCCAAGTTATAGAAAGCATGGAGATGCTGGCCTGCTACACGATCCAGTGTGGTTCTGTATTTGTAGTGGATGTGAGGAGTGGAGTGGGGGTAGCTTATACAACACTGCTACTAATCAAGAAAATACTGCTCTCTGCTGGCCAGAAGACAACATAACAACACGTTGGAAATGGATGGTTCACATGATGTCTGTGAAGATTTTGAGTCATCCAGGTCATGGTTATCCAAGAGCGGTTTAATCGGGGACAACTGGACTTGATTATAGTTACTTGGTGAGGCTTCTTCAGTTCTGACTGGTGAGAAGACCAGGCATTTAGCCTCTGCAGGGTAGTCGTTATCAAGGCCACAGATCTCACTTGGTACATGTCAGGGTAGTGCCCCTGGCTGTTCTAACAACAGTCGTTGGGAGTTGTTGCAGTCACCTGAGGGCAAGTGTACACCTTATCTTTCAGTTGTAGGTAAACGGCTGAGTCTTGACCTAAGGTGTACCCCCTGTGTTGATGCCTTTGTTTAAGATCCTCAAAAAGCACCGCATCCCGTGCAGTCCAGTGCAGCGAGGAATGCACAGACTTATATACAGGTTTGCTGCTTCTATTTGTTGCCAACAAGAAGACAAGGTGTCACCATGTGTTCTTTGTGTTCTGTATAGAGGCAGGGTCACGTACAGTATTACATGCTGCAGGACTGAGCACGCCTCTCTTAACTCGAGCCCCTGTCTCAGAATGTGCCGGAGTCACGTGACAAGCATTGCCGGTTATACTTCCTGTTGTCAACTCACTTCTTACGCTGCTTCTTTTCGCTTCTTCGTTTGATGTTTGCATTAGGTCAGAAGTGGATGTTTCATGTGAACGGAAAATTAGTCGTTGGTTTAACGCATGCCGCTTGTTGTCAAACTGCTTCAGAAACAAAACAGGTCGGCTAAGGAGATTTGTGGGCTAATGCTAGTTGCTAATATTCGCTAGCTGTAGTATTTACAGTATTTGCATGTAACATCTTATATCCATTAGCTTCAGCTATCTTGTGTGTTTCACGTCGATAAAGCCCCAGCAAGTGTTCACTTTGCTCACAAGTAGTAGCACAATGGCCAGTCTGCTCCTTTCAACACAATGCGTTGCCTCATTGAGAAAATCTGGAAGTCTAATTCATTTGAGGACTGCTGCACTCAGTTTGGATAAGCGAAACTACAGCAGCAAAAAAGCATCTTCGACTGAATATTTACACCAAAGTGTGGTGCCATCGATGCATTACCAGAAGAGTTTACCCAGGTAAGAAGTTAAATGGGGATTTTATCAAGCCCTTTTTTCATAAGAACATTAATATGTGGGTTTAATTCAACAAAACTTTGGTCTAATATGAATCTAAAGTACCTATGAAATGTCAGGAGAGTGTAGCAAGGTGTTCTGAGTTAAAGTAGGTGACCCATTAAGCTTTCAGATGAATGTAGGTGAAAGTGCACAATTGACTTTAGCTCGATGACCACTAGGAGGCGGTGATATGACTCACATCTACAGTATCCAAGAAAACTGAGGACACCCCTGATCAATATCACTCAAATGTTACATTATTCAAAACAGTGTCGTATTATAACAAGTGCATTACTTTTAAGCTATAATAATATAGTGTGATGTAATATTACAATATAATGGTTAATTAAACATAAACAGGTTATATTGACTACATTGAAAATACAGGCCCCAAAGTGCAACCTCAGTGTAACATGATTGATTACACCTGTGATTTTAAGCCTAATTGCATGAACAAGGTAAAAAAATAACATGTGAACACCACAGCCTCATCAGTTTTGGTCTGGGTTGTGTCTAATGCACCAAACAGTTTTCAGTTTTGCTGTATATAGTAACATTTACAGGACTGCTGAAAGGCTGAATTGCTGAATTGATTCATTTGTGAATTGTTTAGACTACCAATACCGAAACTGGAGGATACTATCAGGAGGTATCTAGCTGCCCAGAGGCCTCTGTTGGATGATGACCAGTTCAGGTATGTTTTAGTAAGGAAATCAACCATTTCATTTTATTAATGGACACTGCTAACTTTCTAACTTTATATCTTTTTCTATGTGCCCTTAGAACAACAGAGAAACTTGCACAGGATTTCCAAAGTGGTGTGGGGAAACAGCTGCATGAGGAACTGGTAGCCCAGGATAAAAATAATAAGCACACAAGCTACATCTCAGGTGACTGTCATTCTGACCTGAAATTGAGCATCTCAAATGCATACAATTACTAATGTATCTGTATTACTTTTATTTCATCCACTTTTATTTCAGGACCATGGTTCGATATGTATCTATCTGCACGTGACTCTGTGGTGCTTAACTTCAACCCCTTCATGTCCTTCAATCCTGACCCAAAGACAAAATATAATGATCAGCTTGTAAGGGCAACTAATATGGTGTGTTCAGCAGTGCGCTTTATGAAAACACTGCGAGCTGGATTACTGGAGCCAGAGGTTTTCCATCTAAACCCAGCAAAGAGTGACACAGACGGCTTCAAAAAGCTCATCCGTTGGGTCCCATCCTCTCTGTCTTGGTATGGAGCCTACATGGTGAATGCTTACCCCCTGGACATGTCCCAGTACTTTCGCCTCTTCAACTCAACTAGGATTCCCAAGCGTGGACGAGATGAGCTCTTCACCAATGATAAAGGGAAACATCTCCTAGTCATGAGAAAAGGCAACATGTATGTGTTTGACATTGTAGACAGGGATGGGGATTTAGTCATGCCTGCAGAGATCCATTCTCATTTGAAGTACATTCTGTCTGACCCGACACCAGCGCCTGCCTTTCCACTCGGGGCGCTGACCAGTGAGAACAGGGATGTGTGGGCCGGGCTGAGAGACAAGCTGTTAGCTGCTGGAAATGCAGAAAATTTACAGATTGTTGACAGCGCTCTTTTCTGTCTCTCCCTGGATGATGAGAGCATGCAAGACCATATTCACATTTCCCACAACATGCTGCACGGTGACGGCTGCAACCGGTGGTATGACAAGTCCTTCAGTGTCATTATTGCCAAAGATGGACAGGCAGCCATTAATTTTGAGCACTCCTGGGGCGACGGCGTAGCTGTGCTCCGCTTTCAGAATGAGATCTTCAAAGACACAACGGAGCAGCCCCTGGTACACCCGGATTCTGCTCCCGCTGCTGTGGATTCAGCCTCCGCTGTGCGCAGACTGCAGTTCAAATTGGACAGCGAGCTGGAGAGTGGCATCAACAAAGCAAAGGAGAACTTTGATTCAGCTGTGTCAAAACTCACCATTGATGCCATGGAGTTCAAGAAAGGGGGGAAGGAGCAGTTGAAGAAGAGCAAGTTGAGTCCAGACGCTATAGTCCAACTTGCTTTTCAGATGGGCTACTTGAGGCAGTATGGGGAGACAGTGGCCACATATGAGTCGTGTAGCACTGCAGCTTTCAAGCATGGCCGCACAGAGACAATCCGGCCAGCTACCAAACACACCAAACAATGTTCACACGCCTTTGTTTGCCAGCCAGGACAACACAGTGTGGACCAGCTGCGGGCCATGCTCCATGAATGCTCGAAATATCATGGGCAGCTCACCAAGGAAGCAGCTATGGGTGTGTAGAAGACATTTATACATTTTGTTTACAATACATAATGACATGAGTTATTCATTCTGTCCCAATGATAGAGATTTGAGGCCTCTTCCTTTCATTTCCAGTCCTTGCACTCTAACATATTTCTCCTTCCTGATGGTAATTTTATGACAGTCAATATGCTTTGGTAATTTATTAACAGAAGAGACAGTCCAGGTTAACTGAAGCAGAGCTCAGGATAGATATGGATGCTGTATGAGCCAAACTTAAAAAAAATTATTTGAGACATCAAACACTCTTAACTGTATTAAAATTCCATCTTATATCAGAATTTCAGATTCTTCATTTAATTGATTTGTACCTTTACTTTGGCTGATTCATCACTTTTTGGTTTATAAATAGAAAACTTGGTTTATATAATCAAAGTTGAGCAAAAAACATCCCTATATATCACAGTTTAAAAACTGAAATTTAGCCAAATCCTGTTTTTCTAACTGAGTCCCACACACTTTAAATGAGAAAAGCATAGGCAAAGCAAATACAGAAAATTCTTAATGTAGAATAAGTTGGATCGTTGTAACTTTATATAGAGTGTTCATATAGGATCATGTCACATATTGTTAGAAGCTTAATTGAGAAAATAGGTTGTCAGAGCCTTTTAAAGATGGGCAATACCCATACCAACTTTCAACTATCTGCAGCTTTAAACCTACAATTAGTCGTACCTGCATTCTAAACCCCTTTTTATTCATCGAAAGTTAGGACGTGAGCTCTGTCCCAAATCCATACCTACGAACTTTATACAGTACATAATGGTTAGTATACAATAAAGATATAACATATTATTTTCTCCCTTTTCCAGAGTGAATACAGCACACTCAAAACCTGCTTAGAATTATTATATGCTAAGAAACTGGGACACAACAATGGTGTCAGTATTTTGAGCTGCTGCACTAACCACTACTTTTATTTCTCTCACCAGGCCAAGGTTTTGACCGACATCTCTTTGCCATGCGATACCTGGCCAACTCAAAGGGCCAAGCCCTACACAGCCTGTACACTGACCCCGCTTACGCCGCCATCAACCACAACATCCTCTCCACCAGCACCCTTACCAGTCCAGCTGTGAACCTTGGTGGCTTTGCCCCTGTGGTGCCCGATGGGTTTGGCGTTGGCTATGGTGTCCATGACGACTGGATTGGCTGTAACGTGTCCAGCTACCCGGCTCGCAATGTCCATGAATTCCTGCAGTGTGTCCACAAGTCTTTAGAGGACATTTTCACAGTCCTGGAGGGAAAGCCACTCAGTTAAGAAACAAGTGTGTTTATCAAAGAGTGAAAAAGATCTAGTTTTACAGTACAGTGAAGGTGAGCACAGTCAGCATTCTCAGCTACTGGTTGATTATCATTTCCACACAAAGATGCAGAAAGTGAAACAACTAATATATTATTTATAATCTACAGGAGAATAAAAGGAGAATCACAGTGTGTAGGTTTAATGTTATTCAGAAAATTAATGGTACTGGACACATATAGGTTGGGATGTTAAAGATGTGTTTGAAGAGGCTTGGATATTACTGTAGGTATGTTAGTTATCTTGTCATTACATCAAAATTGATGCAAAATGAAGGAGAAATTATCTAACAAAAAGCTGAAGCTCCTTATCTCAGCCTTAAACTGTGGACACAAGCCCTAAAATCAATAGCTTAAAGAATAACCACATCAAACTTCAAATAATGGGGAAAAAAAGTTAGCTTTCAACTGATTTCATCTACTGGCTTTTCAAGACGTCTTTTTTCTGAAAGTTGTAATTTAAGAGCTAGAAATTCTGATAAAGCGGTGTACTGTAGCATCACGTGACGTGTTAGCTGAGTTTTCCGTTTGAGTTAGTCAAGTAAAAGTGTCAGCCAAGATTCAGAGTGCTGGTCACAAAATTCATGCAGTTACACTTTTCAGATGCAATACAAATTACAGTATGGAGACGAATGCTGTGCCTTGTCAAAATATGTGAATTTCAACCAGAGCAATTACTAATGTCACTGTAATATTTTATTTAAATTGCCATCACTGTTTGTCATTTACAGCCCTACTGATGTGGTTGAATGTATTTTGAAATAAAACTTTAGTTATTGGTGCAACTATTTCATAAATGTTGTTGCAAGAACATTTTCCTATTTAAAAATCACTATTTTAATAAAAATTGTATTTCTACACACGAGTATAGACTATAAAGATGTCATTGAAACCTAAGCCTTAGTGTTTAATTCCAGCAAAGGACACTTGTATTGAACTTTAAACAAGTAGCTTAGGTAAAACAGAAAGATTTCTCACCCTTTATTTAAAATAAAAAACAGTTCCACCAAAAGCAAATGTACAAATGCAATAGTTCAACAACAGAAACATAAGCTAAATCAATTTAAATGAGCAAAATCCACATTTTAGATGGGCTTGATCTTGAAGTGTAGACCGATGAGACTGAAGACGAGACATTTCAGATCTTGCACCAGGTAGTAGAACACGCGAAGACCTTCAGGGTCCCTGAAACACAGTGCAATTTTTAAAATGATGTCATTCTGTCAGAGACAAATGTTCAATGTTCACTTTCTTGGATATACTACTCACTTTGACTGGTTGACATCGATCAAGGAGCCAATTTTGGAAGTTGTGAATGAAATATGCTCATCACCAATGACAATTTCCAGTTCCTGTGAACATAAAGACAAACACAGGCAAGTTACTCTGAAGGCTTCAAAAACATTACTGGTTCAATTCATGCAATTGATTTACTAGAATGCCAGTATTGACATCAAAATCTGTGAACAGCAATGGAAAAGATATTACAAATATATCAAATATTGAAGGGCGAAGTGCTCTGTACATGGTATAAAATTTGTGATCCTATTAAAATGATGAGGACATAATATTGCCAGTATGGAGACCACATTTTTAAAACAAACCATTGCATTATGTGACCATAGCACAAACTTAATTTTACAAAATTTGACAGGTGTGTCAGAATTGGGTGCAACACCAGCAGTGTTCTTATTCAGCACCGGTGTCACTGACATAGAATGGAGTTACAAACCTGTCTGCCAACTCTGTCAGGAGGCGGCCACAATGCATCGTCTTCCTTGGTGATCTCACTGTCATCAATGATCCTCTTCAGCTCCTCCATCACACTTTTGTGTACATATGCCTGGGTTTGCACACAAAAGACAGACGAAGGAAGTTACACTTTATGACATGTAGAGCCGTGTTATAGATTTATAATATAGGTATGATGTGAGAAAAGGTACAATCTCCAATATTGTTATTTTTAATACAAAAGTATGCCCTTAAAGTTCTGCACTGTGTTGTATATGAGAAACAATGAACCCCTGATTGTATGACCATCATTATCAAATTAACCTAAGTTTACATACATGAGTGCATTAACAGTTGAGTCGTTAATCTGGTCAGATCATTACTAATCTCAGTTAAAGATTGACCTTGTGTTGGCAGTGTCATAATATTATGACAATTAAATTTAAAATTTACCACTAATAACAAAGAAACCCACACAACATGGATTGGCAATGATACAGTTTTGGAGTACTATCAACTTGCAATGTTTTTATAATCATAAATTACCTCTTTCCTGATCATGACGTCATTTTTGTAGTTACTGTTGTTTGCATACCTCAGTTTACCTGCAAGAAAAGATTTAAATTGAAACATAAATTTGAAACAACGCATCACTTTCAGCAAAACGCATGAGTTCGCTATCATCCCTAGAGGCCACATGGCGCTTCAAAGCGCATAATACAATACTTGAAAAATTACTGCATTCATAGCAAGTAGATCTTGAGTCTTTAATTCAGTCTGAACATGACCTATTATCATTTATCATACAAAGCAAACCACAGGGAGAATTTTGGCGCTAGCAAGTCGTTTCGAGTCCGCTGCGGCCTACCCACCGCCCGGTGGCTAGCGACGTTAGCTTAGACGTAGGGCAGCTAACACATCTTTACTACCGCCAAAATAAACTTACCGTCGGGTCTGAACTCAAATTCAAGGAACTCATGTCCAAACTTTCCCTTGTGCCCAACGTAATATCTCAAGTAGAAGTCGCTCGTTGACATCTTTACTTTCCAGAAAGTGCTCTTTCTGGGGAAGTCTGCGGAACAAAACTCGGACAAGAGCAATTCAGTGCCTCACCACCGAAATACGCATGCGCACAAGATCATAAGCTATTATAAACTTTAGTGCCCCGATATTTGTCTGTCAGGAATCCATTACTGGTCTGTGGAGGTGCTACTAGTACTACATTTGCTTTATGTTCCCTCTGTAATAGGACATTTAATCCACAATCTATGTTAAATGTAAAGGTTTTCACTTTAACTTGCTTTCCCTTTGATTTATTTGATGTGTCTGATAATCCATAAGTAAAATAAAATAAAAATGATTTATTTTTGTATTCGTAGTCGGTTAGCTCAAATTGCCTTATTAACCTGAGTTAAATGTCGTGTTCCTTGTTATGGAAAGTATGGTTTTATTTACCTCCAAGTGAGATTTATGCTTTGTAAAAAAGTGTTATGTTAGTGTCATAATGGATAAGCAAACATCACATTTACAAAGAAAGTTTTCTTCCGTTTCTACCATAGACTGTGGTTTCTACTCTGCCTGGAAGACAGAGCCCAGGGAATTTTCAATGCAAATTTTCGTCGCCCTTTACTGACGTCATCACCTTCCGCACCGCCGACAGAACTTGTCTACAACACACGTGTGGTTGTTATAAACTTTCACACATGGCGGGCTCGTTTTCCCAGGAGCTCGAGGATTTGTTGAATCCTTTGCCTAAATTTGCGGATCCAGAGGACGACGCAGACGAGGCGACCAAGGCCAGAGTCATCGAAAGGTTCAATGAGGACGACGACGACGACGACGAAGATGGGGTCGGCCTCAGTGCCCTACGGAAGCACAACACATCCCTGCTCTCAGACACGGACAGGCGGTACATGGGGAAAGCAGTCTCTCGTAAACAGCTGCTGATGGACATTGAGGGCTCTGGTGAGGAGGAGGAGGACGGCAGCATAGAGGAGCTAGAAGAAGATGAAGAAGAGGATTCTACGGGAGATGAAGAGGCAGATGATGATGATGATGATGATGATGAAGATGAGGAGTTGGTGGACAGCGATGCAGAGCCAGGTGCTAAACTGGCATCTAAGACAAAGGGTTCTGACATGACCTTTCCTCAGGGAGTGGACTTCCACGAGCTGACAGAGGGCATGGATGACCTGGGTGTGAGTGAGGATGATGATAGTGACGAGGAGACTGAAGGCAGCGATGAAGATGAAGGCTCTGGTGACGATGAGATGGAAGGCAGTGAGGAAGATGAGGAAGATGGCGAAGATGAGGGAACCGTCCGGACATTTTCAAAAGAGAAAATAGACGAGCAGGTTGAGAAAGGGAAAGCTGTAAAGAACCAGCTGGCCCTGTGGGACCAACTGCTTGAGGGACGAATCAAAATCCAGAAAGCTCTGGTGACGGCCAACCAGCTTCCGCAGCCACAGACTTTCCCAGAGTTCAAGAGGAAGGGTGGAGCTGAGCTTGCGGGGGCACTGAAGAACACCCACAAAGCTTTAAAGGCTCTTCAAAGGTCCCTGCTGGAGCTGCACGATCAGCTGCTGTACCAGAACGCAGACACGAGGACCATCGCTCTGGGGAAGACAGGAGCTCAGAGTGAAGACGAGGAGATAAACAGTGATGAGAATGAGGAAGATGAGGCGTCGGTGCAGGAGGGTGGAGCGCCTAAACGAAAACTGGAGATGGCAGAGTACCCAGACTTCATGGCCAAACGCTTTGCTGCTTTCCAGCCCTACCGCGACACCACTCTGCAGAAGTGGCACGACAAAACTAGACTGACCATGGGTAAGAGCAGCAAAGGTTTCGGGGCCTTTGACAGGAACATATTGACTCAGGTGGAACAGGTGCTGATGGACAAAGAGAGGCTAGTGAGGCGCACCCACACTCGACGCTCAGAATACAGAGTCCTGGGGAAGAAAGAGGCCTCTGCTCTCACCTCTGAGACTGTCCCCCAAGAGGACGAGGAGGCGGAGCAACAGCTGAAAGCAAACACACATCTCAAAGATGTGGATGAGGACATATTTGATGATGACGATTTCTACCACCAGCTACTGAGAGAGCTCATTGAGCGCAAGACGAGTGCAGCAGATCCCAATGACCAGGTGGCTACGGGCAGGCAGTGGCTGGCCATCCAGAAATTGCGCAGCAAGATCAAGAAGAAGGTGGATACCAAAGCTAGCAAAGGGCGTAAAGTCAGATTCCACATCCACAGCAAGCTGGCCAATTTTATGGCTCCCATTGACCACAGCTCGATGGGCGACGAGGCGCGCAGTGAACTGTATCGTGGCCTCTTTGGTCAGAACTCCTCATTCAGGGAGTGACGTTAAAGGGGTTCTCATGTGGAGCAGGTGTTATATGGTGGGATATAAACAGCAGTGCCTTCTATACACACACCCAGGGATGATGCCAAGCAGCAGTTTGGATCAGAACAGAGACTGGGCTTCTCTTCGTCAGGAGAGGTTCTTCAGACCAGTGCTCTGACCTAACAGGAATAAAAATGGACTCATACAGTTCTTAATTAATACCTTTATACTGAGGAACATTTTCACAATAATGTTGTTGTTGCCTAATGACCAGTTTGTGATTAAAAAAAAATGTAATATGTACGTAATGCATAGAGTGTTAAGTGACCTAGAAAGAAATCAATAAATGTGTAATTTTTTCTTGTCACTTTCTCTAATGATTCAAGTGTTTACTTCACGTTTCATGGCCTTTTTTTAATACAGTGTATGCTGTGTCCCAACTCCGTACAACACACTCTCTGTATACAGTATACTAATCCTGATACTGTTTTTGCAGTTAATATACAGAAAATCACCCGTTTTACACTAACTGGAAATGATATACTTTCTAAACCTAAAAAATGTTTATGTTCAGTTAATTTTTTTTCAGCTGTTCTTTTTCCTTTTTAAGAATTGCATTCTGGGAGAATAGAGTCCATGAACAGCACATTCAGAAAGTTTTGAAAGTTTTTTATTCTGCATACTGACTCATAACTGTTTTATTTTCTCACTTTTCTAGTGTGAACACACTGCAAACTAGAGAATTAGGATGCAGAATGGATTTGGGAAACAGCTGTAGACAGTACATGCAGTTCAGGGCCATAGCCAGGACTGAGGTCATGAACCCAAACTCCCCCAACAAACCCCTTAACCCTTTTCTTGATATTAGGATTTTCATGTTTAATTAATTGTTAAATTAGATTTTCTGTCTTTGTATTCCCAACATGAACATTTTAAATGTTTTCTCCAAACTGCCAAGGATGAATTTCCTCCAAAATGCAAACACATCGAAAACATAAATAAGAGAATAACTTAAACAGTCAATGGTGGGTCTTTCAAAAATAATGATGGCTTCATTCTCTTCCATGACAATGTGTCAGCAGTCAATTTTGCTATGTCAAAAAGCTTATAACGTATTCACCATGTGTAAGCCCTCATATTCCAGGAAGAATGGCATGACCTCAATGTCCTCAGTGGCCCTGACTGCAACTACATTACCCCACAGTGTTTGTAACCTAGAAGCAAATGAAATTTTTCTGTGTAGCTAGAAAAGAGCACTGAGCAGCATGTGGCACTTTCCTCTCAACGTACAGATTAAAACAGAACAATGAGACTTAACCAAAACAGAGTAACATAAGATTACAACCAGACATGGATATGAATATTTTTTAAATCAAATACAAGAATTTGTCAGTGACGAATATGTTAATCGAAGCAAAGAAAGTGTACCTGAGAACTTTATCATAAGAAATATGAATACAGGAAGAAAACCTGCATTAAACATTTACAGATCACATTTACAGTGGCTGTCTTGTACTTCATGACATTTCACAGCTGAATGCGTCTTCTTGTGAGTGACACTTGCATACATGTGCATCTGAGGATTCAAGTTTAAGGGAATCGAACAAAAATAATACTTTGTGGTAATTCCATAATGACATAATTAACTGTTCTTTATGTTACATCGACGTCTTATTAAGTGAGTTACAATTATGTCAATACCACATTCAGGTAAATAAAAAATAAAAAATGATTAGTCCACAAAGACTGTATGGAAAATTATCTTTGGAGATGATGTCATACATCAGATGATGTGAGGTGGAAATCGGTTGTTTCATTTGCCTAATAACTTATTTAGATTTACACATGACAAAGCAAGTACAGCTCAGGGCCACATGACACAAACAGCAAAAAATCTCAACCCAGAATTACATACACCTTTCTAGAAGTCGAAATATGCTTTATATGGAGTTTTAAAAAAAACGGAAATTTGCATCGATAAAGGGGATCAGTCAGGTCACATGGTGAACCTTTAACTGTAGTGATAGGGTATGGCCCTGCCATTAAACAGCATGTTGCTACAATGCATTTATTGTATGATTAAAGGCTGTCAAGTGTTTAGAAATCTTTTTTAGACGTCATAACTGCTTCTTTTAGTTACTCCGTTTCAGTGCTGTGTTAAAGGCAAGCAGCAGTTTTAGACTAAATTATAAGTGAGCCCCTTTGTATTCATCCTCTTTCAATCTCATACAGTACACAAGCAAAAGAGAAAAATAAAACAACTGCTTTAAACCAGTTCCACAAGGGGAAAAAAAATCCCTTCATCTGATTGATTTGCTCAATCCAAGCAGAATCATATCAAAAGCAGGCCTTTTGATTTCCTGGCAGCTACTCCTGCCTTGTTAGCCACGCTGTGGAGCACATTCAGCACGTGCAGGTGAACCTTCCTTCCTCTCCTCAGGACAGCGCTGTGTTCAGTGTGGCCGACTGCTGGACTCCATGTTTGGTGGATTCTTCGTTGTTCCATAACCGCTAAACCACGCATTCAGCCGTTTGGTCAAACCGCCATTTAGAATATCCTGGATGTGTTGAACTATGAGATTTATAGCAACTGCATTGAGAGACAAACAGATCGTGTGGTCAAGGTTAGTCGGAGGTTTTGTCTCCCGTGTGTTACCATTATATTTCAGCCACAAATTTAAGCATCATTGCAGATTTTTTGAAAGGTAAATAGTCTGCGATCTTGGAAAAACCCAGACGGATAACAAAACGTACACCTGTCCTGAAGATGTTTTCAGATTCCTTAAAGACTTCTAACCATCTGAATGAAAAAATATCCCATCCACTGCATGAGAAAGATTTTTTAACCCTGGTATTTATCTCTCAGGTGCTTAAATCTGTGACTCAAATATAATGGGACTGCACAAGAGGCACAAACTGGGGATAGCTCAGGTTATCTTGCTTCAACATATTTAAAGCAGCTGCAGTGTGGTTTTCTTTTGCAGTTTGTTTTGGTGATGTTCATTTCTCCAGTCAACTGACAAAGCTGTTTTGTTCTTTTTCTTAGTTTTGAGAGCACAATTCCCAGCTCGGAGCTCAACAATAAACACAGCTGTGTCCTCCATGATAACACTGTTGAGGCTAGAGTCTGAAACATTTGGTTTCAATGATATTGTCTCTAATGTAGCGCACATGAAGAATCTCCCCTGCTATAAAAAAAAAAAAAAAAAAGCACAAATACTCACCAATGTTATCAGCTCCTCTTGGTATTATAACATCAGCATATTTCTTCGTCTATATCGTGTCAATAAAAAGGAAAAAGGATTTGACCATGAGTCCATGTTCAGGGACACGACCATGTAAACCTGAGTTGAGTAGTATTACATTAGAATATGCACTCACTGGTAGGCAGAACTCCTCGAACGCAGGCTTGACAAAGGTGATGTACTGTGCTAGAACACCTTCCAAGTCCCGACCACGATCACTTATGTCACGCAGCACTGAAAATGAGCACAGGGAAAAGTGATCTTTAAGAGGAATAGTTAGATGAGAAAAACTGATACCACTTGTGAGTGTGGCAAATATCAAGCTACAGCTAGCAGCTGGTTAGCTTAGCATAAAGACTGGAAACATCTAAACTGGCTCTATCAAAAAGGTAAAACAAAGACAGCCTCCAAAGCTTACCAAATTACACGTTTACACGTATATTTATTTCATGTGTATAAAAAGGGAAGCATAAAAATGACACACTGTGGTTCTATATCAGTTTCCAATCATTATACTAAGCAAACTGGCTGCAGATGACAACTTCATATTTAGTGTACAGTCATGAGAGTGGTATCGATTTTCTTGTCTAATTCTCAGCAAGAAAACAAAGATGTGTATTTTCCAAAATGCCAAATTATTGTTTGCTCTTGTATTTAAAATTGAAGGGAATCATCAAGTCATGCTTGTATGTCTCACCCCTGCGAGATAGCCGAGTGTCTGCATCAGTGTCCACAAACAGTTTCATTTGGAAAAGGTCTCGAATCTGCTGAGAATAGAACATCAGGATCCCTTCAAACAGCACCACATCAGCAGGGTAGACTATCACTGTCTCTTCCTTCCTGTCATACAAAAAGACATTAAATATAAAATCACTTAAAGCGTGCCTATGTAACATTTGCTGAACAACAGCCACTGTAATAACAAGTGACAATGACAAATCAAAAAACCAGAGTCACAAAGAGTAAGAGTCATAAACTCAAGGTGATGCAGCAATATCTGCCTAAAGTTTGCTAACACTGGCTAACATTAGCAGCATTATGCTACTGGTCATACCAGACAAAGAAATTTTTTATTGCAAATGAAATGAACTTTTCCTTTGTAAAAGTAAGAATGTGTCATTTTTTCTTTCAAGAGTTTCATAATCTTGTTTTTAAGCTGCAATGAAAAATGTTAAATGTTTAATTCTTCATTGTTCCAGTGCATTATGTACAAAGAAAGAAATTTTAAAAAAAACAAACACTTGCATATACTTTGCATTACTGATGTCCATATTTCAAAGCTACTGTGGTGTTTCAGATTTTCAAATATGGTTTACCTACATTCCAGGCAACCACTGGTTTCCATTCATTTTCACTATGACATGAAAATCAATTTGTGTAAAATGTAGAGTAAATAATCCACTACTTAATGTTACTTAAGTTTTATTTATTTATTTATTTATTTTTATTATAGTTGATGGGCTGATACACTCCTTTAATCATGTGTCTGTATGGAATTGATAAGACTAATTCACCTGGAATGGGAAACAAAGTCATAAACAGGGATGTGCACCGTTTTTCCCTCCTTAATGTCCCACAGAGTTGTGATTATGAGGTCGTTATCAAATGCATCTATACAGAGAGAAAGAGTACAGTGCAGTTAGAATCAGTCATTTCTCTGGCAGGATGAAATATCATCAGACAGTGGCTGAGCAAACCTCACACAACAAGCCTCAGTCACATACAGATCAACTGCTGGAACCATCTCTGAATAAAAGATGCTAAAGTTTCGTGATTACCCTGCTGTCAGATGACACATGAAGGCATTGGGGTGTGTTAGTGACCAACAACAACATACCTGGGTGGTCGAAGTTGAACTGGCCCTTTAGTGCTTTGGCCTTCTGCTCCGGGGTGAGGACCCTGTAGAAGCTGTCCTGGCTGAGGATTGCCACTTGCCTCTGGTGGTGGTCAATCTCATTCTGCCCCAGCAGCTCCATGATCTTGCTGCACACTGATGACTAGCCACACAGAAATAATAAAACAAAGAGTATGATAAAATACAGCATATGATTTACCACATCCTTTTGTTTTTGAGACGTAAGTGGTGTCATTTACTCAGGTCATTGTGGCCTTGACGCAGAGTTTGAGTTGTTATTCTCAAACAATGTCATTTTAAAAGCTGCAAATTTGGATTCTTTATAATCATATGTGAACCTGGCAGACACAACACAGAGATTACAGTTTACTTCCCTTTTGGATAAGATGTGTGGGAGAACAGGTGGTTCTGTGAGCAGTTACTCCTGGGGGGGAAATGGGGCGTAATGCCAGGAAGTCAAACCCACCAACAACTGTCTGCTGAACCACAGCTTACATTTTATTCATTTAATCACCTATAAAGTCAACCTACTGTCAGCTGCAAAACTATTGTCGGGGGAAAAGGCTAGTCAAATGATAACAAAATGGAAAACTACCCTCCAGATTCACACTGAAAAAATTTCAAAAATGTCACACTTAATCCTGGATTCAAAGCAACTTGACTTGCATCAGACAGGGATGTAAGTCAAACCAAACCCAATTTGTCAAATATAATGAAGGACGAAAAGACTAGATTTTGTATGAGGGTATGTGTGCTGATCATAAACTCTGTTTAAACAAAATATGAAACTAATGCATCACATTTTTTATCTTCAAAAGAGAGAACACTTATTGGCAACCCTTGAAAACTTTTGAAACACTGCACCATAGTGGATACAGAATAGAGGATGATAATGCAGAAATTCAGTCAAACAGACAAGCAGCGACAGGGGATACATCAGTGTCACAAAGAAGAAAAATCCAGTGTGATCAGCAGATCCACCAGAAACAACAATAAAGATAAGGATAATAATAATTTAGAAAAATAAAAAACTCATCTGGCTACCACATCTGGATATATATACATGCATATAAATCCATGTTCTGCAGACACCGTGGCATCTTGACATAACAGCCAGATTTTGCTTGTTTATGCAAAATTGTGCAGTTAATTGAGCTATCAGGGTTTATAAGTGCGTTTAAATTGTGGCCTCTAATTTTCATGAGCTTACAGACAGCAGACCCTGCGCAGCTGATGCAATTAACTCAAATCTCCCTTATCTTTTTCCTCTGATCCTTGCCATCTTTTATATCCCCTCAAGTTAAAAAATGTGACACAACCAAGATATATGGGAGTCCTTCAGGCTGATTTCCATATATTATACTACTTTATTAACAATGTAAGACAAGGCTTTTTTTTTTTTTTACAGTGCACCCTGTTATGGCATGCACTGAGCCGGCCTACGCTATACGCTCACAATTAATCAGTCTGACTGATCCAACAGATGAAAAGGCTCCGATTATTTTCAAGGAAAGAAAAATGCGCGTTAGCTCCAGATTTCCTTGAGCAAATGATATCAACCCCTCTGTGTCGGTTCTCACAGAAAGCAAGCAACGCATGAAACACCTTATTCTATGAAACAAAAGAAATCATGAATTATAATATAAACCTTGCCGCTGGCTGTCCCTCCGGCCACACCAATGAGGAAAGGCTGACGTTGGTTGCTCTCATTTTCGGCTTGGTCACCTGGCTTTGTCTCGCTGTCGCCTGCCATGCTTCATCTGCAGCGCGATGCGGCCCTGTGACACACAGGGGTGCCTGCGCTCCTCCCATTTGATGATGATGTCGATGATGAAGATGATGAAGCTGATGTGGGTGATGATAAAAAAAATGACAATAAAAGTGTTTAGATCAGTTTTGTTGCTTATAATGAAATTATATGTTGTTGATGATGAAATTAGAGTTGGGGTCCAATATTCATACTGACCTATGAGTGTTAACACAGATTGTAGCCTGAGGTTTCATGTTTAAGTATCAAGCACTTTGTAATTTAATTTGAAAATAGACTTTCTTTACCTATAGGCTACATATAGGGATAAGCCAAACTCCATATTTTCAATTATCCTATTTTGATTACTTGTTTGTATTATCAGACATGAAATAATCATGTTCAAACAAATGTCTAATTGTTGGACATTTCATCAGTAACTATGACATCAGCATAAATACTATAAATAGTGTAAATCAATGCATTGATTTATGAGATAATACATAGGCCTACCATGGTCCGTGCATGAAGTATAATTCTTCTGCAGTTGTTCACGTTATATAATGAAAAATGCCAGGTTAAGGGGTATTGACTAATTTCATTGTCCTATTTGTGCTAAGTGTAAATGTATGTTGACGTTTGTGATCTCGTTCATTAGCCGATGCTGCCTGAACACTGTTAACGCTTTGCGTGTGTTATTGTTCCACTGAATGAAGACGTGCAATTCAATTCAGCGCACCAAAGCGTCAGTTTGTTCCGTTATCCAACATGTACAGTGAAAATTGAACAAGAAAGTCGAAAGCCGGAAACAGGAACAGCTCGTCTTCAAAGTAAAGGTTTCTCGTTTGCGCAGCTTGCAATGGTCAATATAAGGAGAGCTAAGCTAAATAAATGAACAAACTTCGTAAATAATGAATACAATTAATAATTGTTATACGGTTTTCCGCTAGCCCACAACTGATCAGGAATACATTTCCAATGAACACTGGAATTACTATATTTGATGACTGTGAAGGCCACAGCATATGAGTCACATCATTTTCATCCTCATAAAACCATTCAGGTCACCAGGGGTGACTGGTGTGCACATTAAACACATGGATCCAAGAGACATTTAACCATTTATTTTGTTCAGGAAATTCAGCAAGGAACTGATTGATGGATGGATGGATGGATGGATGGATGGATGGATGATTTCTTCAGTACAACAAACAAAAGTAAATACCTTGCCATGCATACCACAGAAATAATAAAGAAAGGGTAACTAAAACATCTTACATTCTTAATGCATCCAAAGGTAAAAAAAGGAATCTCTCTCAAACATTCACCAGGATTCTGCTTATCCTGTTAACAAAGAACGTAATTAAATGAAGGATACAACTTTACTACTTCTGGTTCTAAATTACAACAATTTGCCTTATACAATTTTCAATTCAAATAAATTAAGATTCATTAAAGGTAAACATAATATGAAAGAAATTAACAATAAATAATATAAAAGAAAGGACATTGGTTTCCAACCTACTTGTATGGCAGCATGATCGTTAACAAAGGGATCTCGGTTGTATACACCGGGTGCTTTACTGAACTCCCCTATGCAATCTCCTCCCGTCCTCTTACAGGTGAATGTCTTTTTCAGCTGTTTTCAGATAAACAGCTGTAAAAAGCCACTGTCTACTACCTCCCCAGCAGCAAAGCGCAGACAGATACAGTCAATGAACAGCTGCTGAACATAACGGAGCATTTAGCAGCTAAAGACACAGAGATTTCCCTAAGGAGCGGGTGGAGACCAAAGACAGAGCTAAAACAGAGGCAATGCTGGACGAAATCATCATGAGACATCAGGTGAATAATAGTAACAATAAACAATGTAAATTGAAAGTTGCTAGCAATGCTTCCTTGTTCCCTACACCATCACTGTCTTATTACACTCTCTGCTCCATGTCAGACATACAGTCAGATGACTTTTGGACTCCACTGTAGCTGTAACAAATTGTCAATAGTTTAAAACAGAGTCCATATTTCATAGTCCTCAGCCATTATAGTAAATATCAGTATGCTGTTCCAACAGCATCACTTATTTAGAGGGAGATTGTTACTGGAAAATAAATATTAACTGTCTCAAACATTATGAATAATGATTATGCTTGTTTCTAAAAAATCAGTTGCACTGTTGATTCAACTACTTCTTTTTATTAAGCAAACTTACATATGACAGTGAAATTCAGCTTTAACTTCATCCACAACTGTTTTTTGATTTCAAGTAGTTACAGCTGATTTTAAATTTTACACTACAGTATTTAATTAATCAACTTATTAGATTCTTTAATACATGTTTCCATTGTTGTAAATTGTTTAAATTAATGTAGTTTATAATGTATAATAAGGTTATTTATGAAGCTCTTGCTTTAACTTTGTTGATGGTTTTTATAGAGCACAGCTGGCATGAATTTATATAATAGTAACACGTACAGCATTGTATGACTATTTCTATGTTAGCTTAACATAAATACTAGAAATGCTTAAATGTTACTGCCCGACAACACTGACAATTAAGGATCAAAAAACATGCTGATGTTAATTGGTAAATACTTTCACCTGTGGAGGTGGTGACAGTGCTAGAGTTGATCCATCACTTAATCACAGTTTAATATTTGTAAATTCTGTTCTTAAAAGTGTTGCTACCATCACCTGTCAACAACAGCAGAAATGAAGTTGCAGGTAAGAAACTGAACCTGTGAATACTGAAGTCAGAGAATAATAATCAAACTAATCAACAGTTAGTCTGTCATTTCCTAAATGCTAATCATGGAAGCTAATCACAAACACCCATCAGCTGTCAGGATATGTACATGAATGTCTGCTTCAGTTGAGGACTGGTTTGAGTATTAAATGAACAATCTTCTATATAACATATTTTTCTACAAATTTTGTATACGTCACGTTATCTCAACTTGAACTATCACGACGTCTTGATGGACAATGTATTAACTGACATTAACGCTGCGCATTACACTAATGCAGATCAGTTAAACTGGGTCACATGTGGGAGAAACACAAACCAAACGTCGTTAGACTAACGTCGATTAAATTCTGACTTTGACTGAACACCTCCACGGGCTAACCCAGGTAGACACAGGTTACCTGCCCAGCGGGCACAGGTACCGTTAGCATAGCAAGCGCTAAGTTATCAGCTAACGCTAGCACTAGCTGGCTAGCTTGGTTAGCAAGGTGCATCTTCACCTGAACTGTGATATTAACAGGGATGCTAATTTTGGCTAGCAAAAAATAGGCTTAAAACAAAATGTACTTACTGGAAAAAAAATGAACCGCCGACTCTTCCGAGTCTTTTAGAACCGTCTTTTAGAACAACTGAACACAGAACAAGACATTTTCAGGCAAACATGTTGGAGCTAACTTTGATAAACTGAAAACACAATGACAAATCCAATGTCCGACACATCACTCTGGCCTCTATCCGGATTAATAGGCAGGTCCCCCTGTGTGTCAATCACGCGGTAGCCACGCCCTAAAACCAATTTGCTTAAATGTCTATTTTCTTTTAAATAGGGCCATAATTACCATAATGAAAAAATGAACATCATGTTATATTGAAGAAAACTTCAAACTAGCGATTCAGACCATAAACACATAACAAAAATGTTTACTGAGGTAATAAATCAAGTGACAAGTAGGGTCATTTTCCCATAGACTTCAATACAATCGGACTTCTTTTTGCAACTAGTAGAATCGCCCCCCGATGGTCATTCAATAGAATGCAAGTTTAAGGCACTTCCGCATTGGCTTCATTTTCCAGACCCGGCGCATGGATGTTCTTATAATACATCCATGACCCGGAGCCGACGTCCGTTTCTATATATACAGTCTATGGGTTAGAGTCCTGATCCACGCTCCATACCAGTTGGTGGCGGTACTGCGCCACCACCTACAAAAACAAATCCAAGGAAGAAGAAGCTCTTCAGTTTGGTCTTGTGCTTGTGATCAGCTGATGAGGAAGCAGCGGAAGCAGCACACACAGCTGCGGTGAGTTTTACCATTTTTATTGGTTCAGACAAAGTAAATGCGGGCGTTATTAAGTCTATTTAGTTTGTTTCGTAAGTCAGCAACTACTTCCCTACTATGATGTTTAGGTTTTGACGTGATGTATTAGAATTACCACTCAGTTTGTGTCTTTACTCTGCTAGTTTGATGTGAACCATATTGCTCCTGTAGCAGCTGCTCAGATGTTTTTTGTGTCTAATTGCTGAGGTGCTTCATTTGCCTTGTGTCCCTTTAGGTTGACACTATCTAACATTTTGCAGAGATGGGTGGTCTGGGCTTGGGCAAGAGGTGGCTATTTGCTCAGCAGCTGCTCCTGTGGACACTGGCCAACCTCTCAGGTGACTGACTCTTATGGCTATTTTGGCTACACCAGCTTCACTGTAAAAATATATTTCAATGAGTTCATAGCATTGGCATCGTGGTGGTGCTGACCCAGAGGGCTCAGGCAAAAAACACAGAGGTTGTTCCTCAAAAAAGTTGAACCTGGCTGTATTTTGACCTGTTGTTTTTTCATTCAGGAAATGGAACATATGTTCAAGATGTACAGGTTCTAGAAACCTCATGATGATTATGATGATGTTAGATTAAATATAATGTTTAATTTATTATGATCATGTCAATCCATACCACCTTTTGATGCCAATCAACATACTGTTTCTGTGAGCATCTCTGTTTGTCCTCCAGACTCCAGCATGCATTTGCTTGCTCCTGATGCTGTCACACTTGAGGAGGACTCTCTAGCAAACATCACCATTACCTCCAGGTAACCACACAAACACACTCTGGGCAATGCTTTTAGAGAAGTTTCTTTCAGTACGTTAATTGTACAATAATATACTGGGGAAAGTTGTTCTGATTACCTTCCATCAAGACACAATAAGTTATTTGTACAACCCATTTGAGTTGAGTTTTTTTGCAAGATTTTGTTCACCTACAAAATGGTTTTAAACCACTGATAATTGTACCTCACATTCATCAAAAGGTTTGCTAATTCTTACCAGCTGCAACAGCAGGGCTGGTTTTGTTTTTACATTCACCAATGTAGTAATGACTACTGAGTACTGATGGGTCCGAACATCAGCATGTTGACAAGTGTTGCGGCTGATGTTATCCAATCACAAGATGGTCTGTAGTCTGAGTCTAAATCCATTTTAGATTCTAAAACTCACTCCAAGTCAATCCCAAGATAAAATCCACACACTGGCAGCTCTTAATGTAGTTAACGTAGTTTGTAAAAGCAGCCGTCAGGATCAGTGTTGTTCTGACTGAATTTTTGTGTCTTTTTCTAGTTCCCCTGCCAACCAGTCAGTTGTGGTTCAGTTTAATGTCACCTACAGCTCCAAGACAAACTACTCATCTATAATCACACTCCCAGAGGAGGTAACACATGAAATCAAATACTTTCAAACTAGTCTTCTTCTGGGCGAGTCTGGATGCAAGTTTATGTTTATGCATCGTTGAACTTAATATAAAATATCTCCTTCTGCACATCCGTACCCAGAGAATAATTGTAATGATTGAATGAATTTGCAAACAATTTATCCTGATAAGAAATAGTCTGATCTAGCTTATTCCTCTATGCCATAGAGCTCCATTGATGTCCATAAAATATACTTTGAATCTATAATATGAAATCAATGTCACTCAACATTGTGCAAGCGTCAACATCAGCAGACAGGGATCATATGTAGAGGAAGGGGAGGGGGATACATGCGACTGCTGAAACCTCTTGAGTTCATGTTGTTCTTTTTTTTGTTGAGGTGTTGCTGCCAGTGGACGCAACCTCAGTCACTTTCAATCTGACAGCCCATGATGTCGGCCAGGTGACCACATACCTGCTTAGCAACAGCACGGACCTCAACAGGTGGGTATCAGTACAGAAGCAGCATGCACTGACATAAGACTTGAAGTCTAATCTTAAAACAGTGCTGACACTTACACATATGCACATTTGAGGAGACAAAATTCACAGTTGTGTTCTGTGTCAAAAGTAATTCTACAGTTCAGCAGAAGCTAATATGAGGCTTCAGCAGTAAATAAAGTGGATATCCTCCAAAGTTACAGTGATTTTATTACAAAATATATTGTTTGTGTTTCTACTGCCAGTGTTTCCTTGCTGAGACACGGCAGGGGGGCAGTTACACAAAGCACGAATTTGATACTAATGTATCTTTGGAAGATAATCACTTGATTTGTCTAACACACTATCAAAGCCTCATTTTAGCTTTGGGTGAATCTAGGAGTGCATTTTTACACAAAGCAAGAGCTGTGTCTCAAATCAGACACTTGAGTTAGTAAACTTACACTGTGTGCACAGTATACTCACTGGGGTGGTGCGTGAATTTTGACAGGGTAGTGTTTTCTCAAATCAAACACTGCGGTTGAGCGCTTACTGGAAATGACAATCGCAACATTTGACTGCGATTGTCGTCCGCCAAAATTTCCACCGGCTGCTTTCTGCGCGTGACTTAAGGATGAATGTTTTACTCTCCTGCATGTGCCCTGTTTCATGCGGCATAGAAATGCGGCATGATGGTCATTATCCTCTACGTAGCCAAGAAGGTGAGCGTTAAGGGGTGAGAAATGTCCGAGAGTTTCACGCTCAACTTTTTGACGATTTTGAGTGCACTGTTCGGGTAGTGCACTGCATGTCACCATACTTCTCAGTGTGAAAGCACTTATGCACTCAAAATAGCAAGTGAGTATGGAAGCATGTGAACTGACACACAGCAAAACTGCCTCAGGAAGGGATTTCTTCACAGCCAGTATGGACAGGAGGAACAATTACAGAAAGGTGCTTGTCCTTCAATGTACATGTGAGTATTATTTTACTAGCTTGAAAAAATGTGAACGTATCCTTTTAACTTCCCCTCTCTTTCCCCTCTCTAGTTTGTCCGTCAGGATCCGCTTTATGGTCATCCATAGCAACATTGTGGCAGTAATAAGTCAAGTGATTGGCTGGATTTACTTTCTGGCCTGGTCGGTGTCCTTCTATCCACAAGCATGGGAAAACTGGAGGAGGAAAAGGTAGTTTACTGTCTGTCCCAAATGGACTGTTGTTTAAACAGACTTCACCTCAAAGAAGCACAGAATCAGTTGTACAGAAACACACACACACACACACACACACACACACACACACACACACACACACACAGAATCATGCTATGTTATATGTACAGCATTCATTGCTTAGGTTACAGTTATTCCCTGTAATCTTGATCATTATGAAATAATTACGAAACAACATATCTGTAAAATAAAGCACATAAATAGATTATAAAAAAAAATAAATAAAAAAAAGCAGATGGCTGGAGTCACACTGTGATGTTCCAGATACATGATCAGCATCTTCACCCCTCAGGCCACCAGGATGCCCCAACAAAATGTTTTATTTACTTATTGTTTTCTGAAAATGTATTTTCATTCATTTTATGTAATAGGCAGAAGAAAATACACATGGTTCACACTTTTGCCGGGTCACACTGGGCAGATCAGTTGTAGTTATTGTATTGTAGTCATCTGATTGGGTTTCATGGTATTCTGGTGACTCAGTGGCGAGGTGTGGACCTTAGAGACAAGACTTCTTTCACTTCCCCTCTCTCTTTCTCACATGACTGTACATGCAGAAATGGATACACAACTGAGAAAAATAAACTGAGTCCGACAAATAACACCAACATATTTATTTTCAGTGTTGTAGGTCTCAACTTTGACTTCCTGGCTCTCAACCTTACTGGCTTCATCGCTTACAGTGTCTTCAATATAGGGCTGTTCTGGATCCCATATATAAAGGTAACTTCCTCCCTCCTTTTAAAAGGGAACTCCACTGCTCATACACATGAAGATCAGTCTACCAGTTGTGTTAAGTACTGCTGAGCCTGGAGAAACCTTTCAGACATGAACTGCTAAACCACAGGGGGACCACTGTAACCAACAATCTGCAGTCATATACATAACTGTACTGTAGTAGGCGGCTACAGAATGGGAATCTTCTATGAGCCTCACATTACCAGGAGAAATGGACATGAATAAATAATGTTTTATTTGTTCAAGTTCCTGGGATTGTTCCCTTTTAAACTGATAGAAGCTGTGTCTCAGTTCAGGGGGCTGCATCCTTTTTGAAGGCTGCATTTCAAGACTGACTAGGTCACAGTGGCGCAACAAGGTTGTCCCATTTCAAAGGCTCCTTCATGGCTCCTTCCAAATGTGGAAATAAAACAGTGACTCAGGATAAATGGGAAAAGCTCCGTAGACCAGACAGTCTCATTTCAGTTTTGCCTTCGCGGTTGACAGTGGCCATAAAGGCAATGCCTTCATAGACCACGCCCCACAAAGGATGCGGTCCCTGAATTGAAACACAGCTATAGCGGGAGGGCTGAGCACAGCAACAGGAACACATCGGTAAACAGGGAGGCATCTTACTATAAACTTATTATTAAAAAAAGTGAAACTTGAAGTAAAGGCCACATTTGGTGCATGGCTCCTGTCCTTGTTGACAGTGCTGTCTGACGTCATCATTTTGGTAAATGACAGTTACAGTCATGTTTACCTAATCAGATACAATGCCACATTTTTGTCTGATGAATTTCCCTCCCAGGTCACTGCTTTCAGCCTGAATCTCAGGTCAGCGACGACAAACTGTTCAGAAACATTTTGTTGGTATATTTTAATTGATGCAACACAGTGTAGGGTTTGGATCACTCATTTAATAGCCGAACTTAGCCACAGTTGGTTTTGAATGATGCATGTACAGTGTATACAGTACAGTATACAGAGTCCGTCTTCTGTAAAGTTGCTGTGTCCCTGCCCTGCAGGAGGAGTTTCTGAAGAAGAACCCGAATGGAATTAACCCTGTCAACGCCAATGACGTCTTCTTCAGTCTCCATGCTGTCCTGCTCTGTTTGGTGTACATCGGCCAGGCAGCTGTGTATGAGGTGTGTGTCTGTAATGTAGAGATGCTTGTGAAACTTATTGGAGAAAAGTTACATACTGTAGTTGTAAGCAGTTGATTCAGTCATATGTGTGTGATATGATATGTGTGGACGTGCAGACATCACTGACTCCACTGCGTCATCTCTCCTTCAGAGGGGGGGTCAAAAGGTCTCCTGGACGGCCTTTTTTTTGTTGCTGATTGCCTGGGCGTTTGCCTTGGTCAGCTTGTTTCTGGCTGTAGCAAAACAGATCACCTGGCTGGATTACCTCTACTATTTCTCATACATCAAACTAGCAGTCACTCTGATCAAATATGTGCCGCAGGTAAGCTACACTCACACACACAGACACCAAAAAAAGATGGAGACACAGGGAGAATAAAATGCACTGAAACACAGTAGCCATGCAGGAAATACTATCTTTGATAAAATGTTCAGTTTACATTATTTAAGACTGCCGTTGTTTGTTCTGAAAGTATATTGGGAAAACAATACAATAAAACAAAGCAACAGCACAAACTACAGCCTCACTACAGATGAGAGTTGACTCACCTCACCGACATTGTCAAAAACTGAGATTCTAAATTTCATAAAGGTAGGAACTGACACACAACTGTTGAATTGAATTGAATTGAATTGAATTACATTGTACAATTTTCTGTATTTTTCTGCTCACTCTGTGTAGAGAAGATACACTGATTTAAAAACTGCAGTTTCATTGATTCCATGTTTACTGTTAAAACCTATACAACATACGCGAAGAGCGTCTGTTTCAGTGCTGTTCCACAGAATGATTTTGTTGTTGTCATGGGAGGAATTATCACTGACAGATGATGACAGTGTTGCCTGCTTTCTGACTGTGTTTCCAGGCGTACATGAACTACAGACGAAAGAGCACTGAGGGGTGGAGTATTGGGAATGTGTTGTTGGACTTCACCGGTGGAATCCTCAGTATTCTACAGATGATCTTACAGTCTTACAACAATGGTAAGTACTTTAGCTTTATATGAGCCGTGATGTACTTCATCTGGGATTGTTTGTAGCATTTAGGGCAGACAGTTTTCAAATGTAAATGTAACAGCCACATATTTGAATGAGATTAAATAAGGTTTTCCATTTGACAAAATAACAAAATAAACAAAATTGAGTTTCTGTGGTTGGATCACTAATCACCCAAAGATGTCTGCACTTTATTCTTGACTCAAAGGTAAAAAAGTGATTTAGTGCAAAAACCAAGAAGTATGTGAACCTTTTTGGTAGGGTTGCACGATCCTATACGTAGTCAGGTCGTGCTATTGTCACGACGAAATTGTGATCGCTTTAATCATCGCCCTACCCCTTTGGAATGACCTGGTTTTCTGTTTTAATTAGTCACGATGCACCTAAGCTAATAACACACAAACAGTTATAATCTTTCATGTTTTTACCGAACACATCCATTAAATATTCAGAGAGCTGGTGGGAAAAGTCAGTGAAACCCTGGGTTTAATAACTGGTCAAATCTGATTTGGCACCAGTAAACTCAAACAAGCTCTTCCAGCAGCATTTATATTAAGACCTGCTGGTGATAACACACACATATCTTACACAGCAGATGGTTTACTGTATATCTGACTGACAGAGCTGCTTGTTTGCACTGACCGTCATGTGTGTGTCTCTCCTCAGATGAGTGGAGGCTGATATTTGGTGATCCTACTAAGTTCGGGTTGGGTTTGTTCTCTGTGGTGTTTGACATCCTCTTCATGACTCAGCACTACTGCCTCTACAGACGGTCGCAGTACGAAGCTGTGACAGCGCAAGAAGACTGATGCTGACTCAATGCTGTGTGGATAGATTGTCTAAAAACACACACTCACATGGGAGCACATGACCGATTTTCGGTCAACACGAATGAACGAATCTTGATCAAGCAACAGATGATTCAAGTTACTGGAGAGAGGTCATGGTGGTCATGGAGCTCTCCAGAGCAGATTTAAACGTCTGATTTGTATCCAGCAGCTCTGAGCTCAGTGTGCCTTCTTCTAAAACATCTCAGGATCAACACTTTTTTCCTTTTTTTTCTTTTTTTTTTAACCACTGTACAAATATTGAGTTGATAGAATGTATAGAAAGAACAATTGATGAAACACTTTTTTTTATTAAATTCAATATGGCATTTAAGCTTGCAGTAGTGACAGTGTTTGCTAAAGGTCTGATTGTGCTAATTGAGACTCCCAGAAAGAGGACTGAACAGCACTGTAGCACTATCCACTGTTACAACAAACATCAGCAAAGAGCCACACATTTAGCCAAGTGTGGTCATTGTATATTTTATAAGAACAGATGCCTTTCTCAGTACCGACTGTGCAGGTTAGGTGTAAGTTGTTTATTGTACCATCAGCTAGAAGGGCACCAAAGAGGAGGAAGAAATCTGTTGCAATTAATTTCATGTGCTCTTTCTTTCTAAAAGTCCGTCTCCGCCCGTCCAATACATGTGTTAGATTACTGCTCGCTCTGCAGTAAACACCTGATACTGAGAGAAGACTGCAGGCAGGCTCTGTAGAGGGGCACTATTTTTTATTATTATATTTTATTATTTGTGATCCAGCAGTTCCTTTTGTAAGAATCATGTATATACACAGGTGTGCCCTAAGAGTGATTAATGATTAACAATTATCTAGACCTGGAAATTAAAGGGAAAGTGAGGATCACATGGTTGTGATCAGGACCGATTCTGGCATTTTGGTTAACAGTCTATAAATCTAACAACTATTCCAGATGTTACCTCCTGGAAAACAGCTGTCAAATCAGGTAGTTTTATGTCTGTCAGTGACATTGAACAGGTGAAACCACACTTCTGATTTCAGTATTTTGTTGGTGCTGAGGTTACAGAGTGTCTGTGTGTAGTTCCTGTGCAGATCATACTGCCACAGATGCACACTGACACTCTGGAGATTACAACATAAAGAAACAACTAACTTACTTCATTATACAGAGCCATTCAGCTATAAAATGTATCTAAACTGTTCAGTGCATGCCTAAAATGTGTACTGTAAGTTATATAATAAAGAAAAAAAATAGATTTAAATGAGTATTGGATCATAAAACACGGTCAGGACCTGTAAGTCTCACCTAACACCTGCACCCCAGTACAGAGAGACCTTGAGTCAAAGAAACTCCTGCAAAAAATGATCAGAAACTTGACAATGTTAGAATCACACAGGGATTTTAAGAAACTAATGTTGTTTTACAGTGAAAAGACCAGTCTCCTCAGGGGCGCCAAGATGTCCAGAAACATCACAGTATGATCAGTGTCTTCCAGACACCACCAGCTGAGCTCTGGTTATTACACTTCAACACAGCTGTGTGACAAAACACTCAACTCAAAGGTCCACCATGAGTTTTTTGGAGGAGAAAATAACCAAACTAACAGTGAGATGTCGTTAAAACACATTCCTGCTTTTTTGCTTTGTTACATTTAAGACTTTTTAAATACCAAATAAAATAAAGTTTAAAGGTATACATAGGTTTATATATCCATACCTATATATGTAATGGAAAAAATAACCTAGATATTCAATTTAAACATAAAACTTTATTCAGAAATGGTTCAGTAGCACTATCATTCTATGTAGAAACCTTAAATTACAGTGGGTTAATAATGTCTCATGTTGAATTTCTACGTCAAAACAAGATGCTGTTGTTTTTGATTTCATTTCGAAAGGTGCTTCGCAGGTTTTGATTTAGAAGTCCCCCCAAAAAGAGACGTAACAAGCAGATTAGTTGTAGGATACAAGATCCCCCAATGCAGACTTTCTGGTCTTCTGTTTTCTATGACTCAGGATTGGAAAAAAAAAGCATGAAGGCTATCAGATTGTAATAACAATAAAATGAAAGAAATATATAAAAGTATATCCTGCATCTTCTGGAAAGGTTCAAAATGAATATTAATTATTCCTGTTATTTTGATGGGCTAAGCAAAGAGACAATCTGCATTATTTAAATATATATATATATATTCTTTTGTAGTGTTATAATTACTGCCTCGCTTTGTTTCTTCTTTGTTTTACATGTCTATATCTTTTATAATTGTTATTATTTTCAATTAAATAAAAATTAAAAAAAACTTTCGTCTTAACTGTGCTCACCTTTAAGGAGACGGAAAAAATAGAGGAAGCTGTTCTAGCTTGTCAGCTGTGTTGTCTATCGCATTTGTACACCACATCAAAAGTGGGAGGACACGAGGAAAACACCAGAAATATAGTAGATGACTTTGTACAGTTCCCAGACCTGTGTACCCTCTGGTTTGTTGTGTTTTAGATAATGTTGCAAATGTATTTATCATAGTAGATGAGTCTATTTACACATTTTATATTATGTTCTTGTGGTTAACCGGTGAACCAGGTGTTCCTCAGAAAAATCTTGCTCCTGTCCAGAATCTGAGCTGCACCCTGCAGCGCTGGAATGATCTTATCTCTAGACAGAAACACAGCCATTATCACGCTTCCTCCAAACGTGAACAGCCAGGGGGAAAAAATGACCGATGCCCTGGTCTCTGGTTCTGGTACCGCTCTGGTTGTGAAAGGCTGAGCAACCCGCTTCCACTGAGTAAGGATAGCGTGTCGGGCTCCCGCCCATTGACCAGGGCCAGTGAGACGATACTGATACGGAGTGCAGGGACCAAAGACGACCTTCACCCATAGCACAGGATCTCTCAGAAGTAGTATCAGGAAGTTCGGCCGAACTCCTACCTGTAATTGGAAGTCTAACATGATTGTGTCTTTTGTATATACACATGGTAACACAGTTTTATACAAAGCTGAACTGAACTGACCTGCTTGGCCATGAAATCCAGGTATGGGATGTAATCTACCTGGAGAGCAGCCTGTCGTGGGCAGGGATAGCTGAGAAAACAAAGGAAAGGAGGATTCCTTCATATGTCATTATCAACAATACACATTTTGAGTTGAACGTCAGCTTTCCACAGGAAGGACATTAATAATCTGTCTGATCCATCTAAGGGATATCATTGTGAAGATGATTTCTACCTGTTCATGTTTCTCTTTCTCTCAGACTCAATGACTTCCAGCATTTTCTTCTTAGATGGAAGATGACTCAAACCTTCAAGGTAAACAGCACAGACTGACACATGTTGCTCATCAATCCTGTGTGTGTGTGTGTGTGTGTGTATAAAGCTTCGAGTGTTTACCTGTAAAGACCTTAACAGCCCACCGTGCCTGCATTTCTACAATGGGCATGATTGGTCCTTTTGTTTGGAAAAGTCCCATGATGGCCAGTGTGGGGCGTTGTAGAGACGGAGGAAACAGCCTCCTGAAATTAAAAAAAAAAAAAGAAGTAAAGTCATCCTTTAAAATTATAATTTTCTATCACAATAATAAATGAAAATCCTTACACAATTAAGATCCAAATAAGGTCCTCATTCATGAGTGACTGTAACAAAGAAACGTATCTTACAATCTGACATTTCAGACGTATCATTACAACCTAGTTCAATGAATAATCATTTTTGGTCATCATACATTTAACTTTGCTTTTACTAAAAACTTTATAAAAATGTCCATAAATGAATGTCATTTTGTGTAAAAAATCAAAGCATATGGCATTTAAATAAAACTATTAATTATTATATTTTGTATACAAGCTGTCCATGGTAAAGCATAATAAAGCATAAAAAAGTACATAAAAAGTACATAATAAAAGTTATCAGTTTACTTACTTGTACAGTGTCATCTCTCCATGAGGCCCCTCAGACAGAGCTGGAGGCAGGAATGAGAAGTTTCCTTTATAACCTGTGCAGAAGACCACAGCATCAATGTTCTCCTCCACTGTGCCATCTTCAAACACAACTCCTGAATCCACAAACCCTTTCAGGTTGGGCTTCATGACTAGCGCCCCCTGAAGGATTCGACCAGGAAGATCATCATTGATCAGAGGCCTTCGGTCCAAAAGTCTGGGAAAGTGATGAGATGATAAATATTATATTATTTTGTTTCATATATTATCTCACATTGAAAATTGCTCTGTTGTATTAGCTCATTCTCATGTCTAGAAGAATATGTAGTTGTTACTGTGACTTACTTACGTTGGCATTAAAGGTACAATGTATATCTAAACCAAAGGGTTAGATTTTTGAAGGTGTGTGACAGGACACCTGGGATCATGAGGCAGAGAGGAATCAACAACGTCCAGGTAAAGAAAATGTGTCACCTATGTCTGGGCTTCAGGCCGTACAGTCTGTGGTCATATTTGTGGTTCAGTGCTCTCTCTGTTGCCCAGTTGACCAGAGCTTTGGGGAGAAGCATCATGAGGATGTTGTTGAGCCTGGTGATAGCTGTCATGTCCAGGGGGAGACCATTGGTAGACATCCTGCCAACTACCCAGGCCCCCTGTCGTGTGCTGAGAAATGTCTATCAGAGAGAATAAGAAGATGGTGTGAGTACATGGGGCATATATCCTTGTCAGTGTAACATTTTTAGGTCTATACAGAAAAAATGAGACAGATAGAAATAATGTATGATATTTAATATCAGCAACCTCTTCCTATACAATTAAAAGACAATGCTGATGAATGTTGTACGCTATCGTGCAATATAATTGTAAAATAAAAACCTCACAATATACGAAAGAATACGTGTACATATCATCTGTCTCAAGTCCACTGGTCACTGTTGTCCTGTAGAATTGGAGACAAAGCTTTTCAACTCTTTCTCTATCCTACCTTCTCTGCAGATCTACTAATCTCCACAGCAATATCTCCCCCAGAATTGCCAATGCCAACCACCACCACCCTCTTTCCTCTGCAGGCATCTGCATCTTTATATTCCCAGCTGTGAAAACACCTGCCAGAAAACATCTCATATCCTGGGGAGATACAGATGTTGCAACCGCAAAGGAAAACAAGACGCAAAATAAATCAACCCACTTCAATCCTCCATCAAATTCTGTAAAACTTGTATGGCAGTGTACAGTGTGTTGAACAAAACTGTTTTAGAAGCGATATCTATTTGTTTACTGACCTGGAAATTCTGACAGTGGTAAGGCCGGCTGGGTGTAGTGACCTGAACA